AAAGCAAAGAAAGAAATAAAACAACAACAACTGCAAGAGTAATCATTTATTGAGTAATCATATCATTATTTTATTTATTACAGATTAATTTCTATTGAACAATAATTCTTATATGTAATAATTTCATCTCATTTTTTATACTTTCTTAGATTTACGCGAATATTTGACATTTTAAATAAGATATCTTTTCGGATTTTTCGCGGATTTATTTAGATTTTTGGTTTCTCGATATTTTGAATGCTTTACTCTAAGATTTTAGACGTCTCAAAGATATACTTGTTACAGACAGTACCTATCCACAAAATTACTGAATTCAAAAATATAAAAATGTCACCAAAGTACCTTCCAATATTTGTTGAATTTATTTTACGTTTTCGAAAAGAGAATTTTATTTAAAAGGTCATGTTCTATTTTTATAATTCTTGTGCTTATTAAAATAATTTTGGGCTGCAATTTTGTTCTCATCATCTTCATCTTTAACAGTTAATTTGCCGCTCAAAATACGATTGACACTTCTGCACCAACTATAAACTAAAACATTGATTGTCATATTTATAAAATATGTTTTTAATTTATTTTTATGTTCAACACACTTAAAAGGACAATCAGATAGCATGTCCAGAAACAAAACAATATTTTTCTTCAAACCTGTTTTGGGTACATTTAAAAAAAAAAGAAGTGGTCATATTCTGGATTTCTTTGAAATACGATTCCACTTCTTTATTAGGATAGCACAGCCATTTTATATTCATGTACTCTTTGGCATAGATATATGAATTATTGTCATTTGATATATCATTTTCAAACAATGTTTGTTTGCGATGTTGACAACCTTTTATTATGTGTCTCCAAAAACACACAGCATTGAGATGAAGAAGCAGCTCTGTGATTTGTCAAAATATCGAGAATACAGATTAAAAACATACCTGAATCCATTAAAGCTTGATAATTAGGTTACCTGCGCGCGCAAGCATCCGCTTGCCGCCTTTTTAGCTGTCAAGTGTCATAGCGTTTTGTGATTTGGGAGAATTTACATCAAAAAGTGAGAAAAGTAGATGTAAATTAAGTTTGAGTAAATTTTCAGTGAATTTTATGAAAAAGGAGATATTGGTAAGCATTGTTCATATTTAATTAAAAGAAATAAAATGGAACCTATGCGTTATGAGGACCTAGAGGCTGGTCGAGATTCCGTTGCTCCGGATGGAGAACATATCTCGACCTCGAGCTCGGAAGCTTCGGGGAGCAGCTCCTCCTCTTCCTCGGAGGTCGAGGAGGGCTTGGCGTCACCCTTGCCTAATAAACGTCCTAGAACGCATAAACGAAAGTTAGATCCTCGGGTAGATACTTTAATGTCTCAGATGTCTTATATATCTAATTACTTATCACAATTACCAGCTTATATGAGTAGGTATCCACAAGATAGGGAAATCACACCTAGTAGTAGTACTAATTGTGAACAGTTTCTTATTAATCCTAATCAACCGGGGACTAGTGTGTTACCAGAAACATTAACATTAACTCTGGGTAATTTAGGTACAGACTTTGATAATAGAAGCATTATTCCACCTAGTGATAGTGAACGTCTCTCTGAATTAAATAAGTTACAGCAGTTTGATTCTCCGGCTTGGAAGGCTATTAGATATAAGGGATCACTTCAGGAGAGTTTAGCTTTTCCTGGGTTTGTAGGTTTGAAGGTTAATGATGAGTTATGCCACTTTAATAAAAATAAAGATTATTTAGCTGCTACAGAACTCTTACTAGCAGGGTTATCTAATAGGGTTTTAGAGCAGAGACAATTATTGAGAATGGGCTTGCAATCTATACTTGACTGGGCCGTAGCCAATCCAAAAAATTTTAGTGTAAATTCTTTGTTTGAAAAAATATCAGGAACCTTTGGCCCAGGTTCTGCGAGTCATAAAAATTCAGAGATAACTATGCAAATACTATGTGGCAAGCGGTCAGAGTGTATTGAAATTAGGCGTGAAAGAATATTAAAAGAAATTGGTAATCGGAATCTTAAAGTAACTTTGCAGAATGTTCCTCCTAGTGCAGAGCATTTGTTTAGTAGGGAGGCCCTAAGGCCAATTTTATACAGTCTCTTGGAGGTTCTTAGGTCTGGCTGAACACTCCATCTTATGTGAAAGATAAGAAGGTATTGGATCGAGTAGAACATATCTTTAAATAAAAAATATAGAAATAGGGTTAGAGTTAAAAGATCTGAAAAGAAGTTTAGACATACAATAAAGGGGGATCAGCCCTTTCGTCAACGTCAACGTGAGGCCAATAGGGGGGCCTCCAGCGCCAATAATAAACAGGCATAGAGTTCAACGGAATGGAATCAGAAAGTGCAGCCAATAGGATAAGGAAAATAATCTCCAAAGACAAGTTCTGTGCACTAGGCACAGTCAAAAAACGTGATGGAACATACACATGCTCAGACAAAGAAACAACAGAAACCCTACTGAAAACACACTTCCCAGGCTGCAAGCTGGAATACAACACCATACACCAAGAACCACACAAATTCAGAACCCCAACAAATGAAGAAATACGAACAATAAACTCGATGATCACTGACGACAAACTCAAATGGGCTATTGACAGCTCAAAACCATTCAAATCACCGGGAACAGATAACATTTTCCCCGCACTACTACAACTAGGCTACGACCTAATAAAACCCTGGTTAACAGACATATACAAAAACTGCCTACTGCAAAAATACGTACCTATTTTCTGGAGACATGTCAAGGTAGTCTTCCTACCCAAACCAGGCAAGGCAGACTACTCGCAACCTAAAGCCTTCAGGCCCATAAGCCTAACATCCTTTCTCCTGAAAACCCTGGAAAGACTATGTGAAAGACACATCAGAGAAACTACTCTGACAATGATACCCCTTAACGAAAACCAACATGCATACACGGCAGGCAAGTCCACAGAAACAGCGCTCCATCAGGTAGTAAGCACTATCGAAGTCAATTTAACAAACAAAATAAACACATTGGGAGCCTTCATAGACATTGAAGGAGCCTTTGATAAGACAACCTTCAAAAGCATAAACACAGCTTTAAACAAATACAAGATCCCTGAGATCTTAATATCGTGGATTAACGAAATGCTGAGCAAACGCATAATTCACACAGAAACAAACGACAACCTCACAGGACTAGTATCCAGAGGCTGCCCACAAGGGGGAGTCCTCTCACCACTACTCTGGAACTTTGTGGTAAACAGCCTCCTCAATGAGCTAAATAACAATGACATACAAGTCATTGGTTACGCAGACGACATAACCATCCTAATAAGTGGCAAAATTGAAGCCACCCTAGGAGAACTAATGCAAAGCGCCCTTAATGTAGCAGAAAACTGGTGCATACAAAACGACTTATCAATTAATCCCGCAAAGACGGAACTACTGCTTTTCACAACGAAACGCAAAATCAAACTAACAAAAATGCCAACACTATTCAACGAAAAACTGACATTATCAAATGAAGTCAAGTACTTAGGTGTAACACTTGACAGCAAACTCAGTTGGAACACACACGTAAACAACAAAATCACCTCAAGCCACAAGATATTGAACCAATGCAGGCGCATGGTAGGGAAACAATGGGGCATCACTCCAAAAACTATGCTCTGGCTCTACACCACGGTGGTACGAGCATCCCTCACCTACGCCAGTGTAGTCTGGTGGCCCAGAACAGAACTACACACAATCCAAAACGAACTTCAAAAGTTCCAAAGAAACAGCCACGTTAGCAGTAACAGGCTGCATGAAAACCGCTCCATCGGCTGCCCTAGAAATAATTCTGGGCATACCACCTCTACACATTTTCATAAAACAAGAAGCTGCCCTGTCAGCTCTAAGACTAAAATCAGTTAATTCATGGAAACGCAATCTGGGCAAACACACAAAAATCCTCGACATATATGAGGCAGAATTTCCACAGCTCAAATGGCCAAATGACAGAATAAGTAAAACACACATCATAGAAAAACATTATACTATAAACCTAACTGATGACGGAAATGCAGACAACAACCCAACAATAGTACCAATCCACACCATCTACACAGACGGCTCCAAATCCAAGGAAGGAGTAGGTGCAGGTATATTCTGCCCCACTCTCAATATCAAAACCAACCATCATATGGGTATGTACAACACAGTGCTACAAGCACAAGAACTACTAAACAAATCGATAACAAACTCAATACTACACATAAAAACCGACAGCAAAACGGTTTTACAAGCACTAACTAAAAACACAACAAAATCAAAATACATATTAGAATGTCACAAAACGTTGGAACACCTTTCCCATACTAACACAGTAAAGGTCTCCTGGGTAAAGGGTCACACAAATAACAAAGGCAACTCAACTGCCGACAACCTAGCCAAACAGGCCTCTAGACTAAAAGTTCAGGGGCCTACACCTCTATCCCCAATTCCACACTGTGATTACAAGACATGGTTACGAGACTTCACTGATAACACAGTTAACACATTATGGAAGGCCAACACAGATTGCCGTCAATCGAAAGAAGCATTCCCCACACTAAACAAACAATTAACAATGAAACTAACACGCCTAGATAGACCCAAACTAAAAACGGTGGTGGAACTGATAACAGGACACTGCCAACTCCATGAACATCTTTTTAACATAGGTCACACGGACAGCGCCCTCTGCAGAGCGTGCCTCCAAGAAGATGAAACACCAGCACACATTCTAACTGAATGTAGTGCAGTGGAACAATTACGCGAAGAAAAACTCGGCCCCCACAGACCGATCCCAGAAATCTTCCAGGACACCGGCAGCCTGCTAGACTACTGGGACGCTCTGGGATGGAAAGAATAATACACACAGCGACACAAGCTCACGCACAACGGGCAAAGATGCCTAAGTGCGGAAAAAGCCGTGTTAGAAGAAGAAGAAGAGTTCAACGGAACTTCAGGGGGGGGGGGGGGTGTGCCTAAGATTGTCCATAAACGTATGGAGTCGCATGGGTGCCAATCAGTTTGTTTTAAATTCAATAGCCAACTGCCGGTTGCCATTCAAAATGAAACCTCTTGTGAAGTTCCCATCCAGGCAGATTTTAAAGGCCTTAGCTACTCGAGTAACTCCAAACATGACTCGGACAATTCAAGAATTAAAAGACCATGGTATTCTGGAGAGACCACCAACTCTAGACCCTGGATTCTTTTCAAAGATGTTTTTAGTAAGAAAGACAGATGGGGGACTACGTCCTATTTTCGACCTCAGAGCCTTAAATACTCACATAGTGACAAAGCATTTTCATTTGATATCTCAGGTAGATGTAATAAGTTTTCTTCAGGCCAACGATTGGCTGGTAAAGATAGATATTCACCAAGCCTATTTTCATTTGTGCATGGCAGAGGCACACAGACGATTCCTCCGTGTCATTTACGATGGCGAGATCCTTCAGTTGACAGCCTTGCCGTTTGGCCTGTCTTCAGCCCCCCGTACCTTTGCAGCGGTGTCGAACTGGGTTGCGGAAACCCTGCGAAACCGAGGTATTCGTTTGCTGGTGTATCTGGACGATTACCTGTTAGTATGCCAGGACAGATCCAAGTTGATTGCTCAGGTTGCGGAAACGCTGGCAACCTTGGAGTCTCTGGGTTGGCATGTAAATTACCAAAAGTCGGTGATAGAGCCCACACAAGAGCTGCAATATTTAGGCCTGGTTTGGAATACCCAAAACTTAACGTTAGCTCTGCCAACCCAGAAGGTCCTCGGAATAAAGAGGACTCTGTCAAAGTTGTTAGAGAGGAACAACTGCTCTCTAAGGGAACTTCAAAGTGTGTTAGGCATGTTAAATTTCGCCAACCACGCAGTCCCTCAAGGTCGACTACACTGTCGCAAAGCACAACTTTTTCTAAAGAGGTTCACCCGGAGCGGTCGGAAAAAGGATTTGTGCCCCAGCGTGCGACAAGACCTAATGTGGTGGTTGGATGCAATAGACTGCAGTCCAACTCCACTTTGCATGAAGGAAGTGGCACACTTCTTAACCACAGACGCAGCGGATGCGGGCTGGGGAGCACATTTAAACAACCAGTACTTATCAGGGAGATGGGCTCCAAATCAAAGACCTTGGCACTCCAATCTAAAGGAGATGTACGCAGTCTTCGCTGTGATCAAGTCACAGGGTATTCTTTTGAGGAACGCACACATACTGGTGCAGTCCGACAATCGGACCCTAGTCGCCTACATTCGAAATCAGGGTGGGACTCGGTCCATGAACCTTCTAGGCCTAACTACGAGGCTGTTAGAGGTAACCAATTCCCTCAACATAACAATGACAGCATTTTACCTACCAGGGCGGTTAAACAGGATCGCAGATCGCTTGTCAAGGGGAAAGCAAGTACCCGAGTGGCATCTGCTACCACCAGCCACGGAGGCTATATTCGAAAAGTGGGGAATCCCAGAAATAGACCTGTTCGCATCCAAAGAAACCGCCGTAGTAAAAGCCTATGTAACGCTAGACTCAAGAGATGGATCATCTCTTTTTTGCGACGCCTTCAGCCGCGATTGGGAGTTTCAGGTCGCCTGGGTGTTTCCTCCTCCCAGCCTAATTCCCAGGGTCTTAGCACATCTCAACAAGGCAAGGGGAACTTACTTGCTAATAGTGCCTCAGTGGACACAATGTTTTTGGTATCCAGACCTCCAGGCGAGAGCTCTGACCAGTCCCATTCTCATAGAGAACCTGCGGAAGGTTCTTGTCAATTGGACAACAGGGACGAGCCCCCCACAAGTAGACAAGTTAGTTCTTCAGGCTTCGAAAATTGGGGGTGGGCAGACCAAATAACAGATTGGAGTAAAGATGAGAGACAACTATTCCAGAGCAGTTGGCGTCCATCCACGCTAAATACTTATAGTGCTCCATTAAAAAGATGGTTGTTATGGTGCCAGGATAATGAGGTCAATAGTAAAAGTCCAGAAGGGAAAGATGTAGCTAGATTTTTAGCTAATCTTTATTTAAAAAATAAATTGGCATATAGTACTATATTATTACATAAATCAGCCATATCGACTTATTGTGCAGCCACAGTAGAGAATTTATCTAAGAACTTTTTTATCCAACAAGTTTTAAAAGCAATTTCAATTTCTAGACCACAAAAATCTAAACTGCCCATATGGAATGTTAATTTGTTATTTAACTGGTTACAGTCAACATCATGTTCTAGTTCATTGTTTGATAAAAGTAGAAGGATCGCTTTAATATTATTACTAGCTTCTGGTCGTAGGTTACACGATCTAACCCTTCTGGAAGTTTCTAAGGATAAATTTATTGAAACAGAAAATAACATAACATTTTGGCCAAGGTTTGGTTCTAAGACTGACTCAGGAACCTACAGACAATCTGGTTGGTTCCTTACAAAGCACCAAGACCATCGCATATGTCCTGTAACTCATGTGAAAGACTTAGTGAAGGCCTCGGAGGTCAGACGCAGGATGGGAAAGAACTTACAATGTCTTTTCATCACAGTGACGGGACAGGTGAAGCCAGCATCCAGAACTGTTATTTCTGGGTGGCTGCGTTCAGTAATTAAGCAGGCCAAGATAGATGAGTCGCCAGGAAGCATCAGGTCTGCTGTAGCATCTCGGGGATGGCTAGATAATAGACCAATACAGGAGATTCTGGAGCGAGGAAATTGGAAATGTGTAGAAACATTTAAAAAATTTTACTGTAGAGAAGTAGATAGATCCTTCACTTCTAACAGTGTTTGTACTGACTTATACAATAATTTTAAGACTCTGGGTGGATTGATGATTCAAGGTGCTTGCTGGCGATGAAGACGCTATGACACTTGACAGCTAAAAAGGCGGCAAGCGGATGCTTGCGCGCGCAGGTAACCTAATTATCAAGCTTTAATGGATTCAGGTATGTTTTTAATCTGTATTCTCGATATTTTGACAAATCACAGAGCTGCTTCTTCATCTCAATGCTGTGTGTTTTCTCCTACACATAATACCTGTTTTGTTGTAATGCAAAACAGTTATATTATAAATTTAAGGCATCTCTTTAAAATCCATCCGCAGACATAATTGCTTTGACCAACGTCAATTTCATTGGAATGGTCAAAGCAAATTTCACTGTTAAAATGAATAGTATCAGGGATATCAGGAGTTATTATGTTCTTATCTTTAAGGAAGAAGTCCAAACTTTGAAGACACTCATTGTGATCTTCTTCACAATTTGCTCCACTTGAATGGGGCTCACTATAATTATTTATCATCAAAGCCTTGAAGGCCCCCTCAAATGAGACAGTATTTGGAGCAATGTTTCTAACACCATAACTCCTGATATTCCCGAAAAAGTTTTCTATAGGGTCTTGGTTAAAATTTTTTGTCAACATTGCATCAATGCCATATTTTCTAGACAATAACTTCCAAAGAGATTCTATACCCTCTACAGTTTTAATTAAATTTGTTATAGATGGTGCAATAGTTTCTGTCAATCGTGTTTTATCTCCAAATCTAACTTTCTTAATATATTTTGTGGTTTTTAATATTTCTTTAGCTTTTTGCCATAATTGATGATGAGGTGAATTGCGTTTAATAGGCCCTTTATAAATTTTACCATTTTGAACAGATAAAGTGCTAATGTTTAATGAATCAAACAGATTATCAACTAACAAAATAAAAAAAACATTAAAACATTGTACTTTTTTGATTTTCATCTTGTAATGAAGTGGTTTCATCTGCATACATTGATAGTTAAGCGGCACAGCTGAAAAGTATAAATTTTTTAAGTCAATAAATAGGTAGTAACAAAACTTTTGTATTACTAGTTATTGCCAGTGCCAGTGCCAGCCAGCCACAAGAAAATGTTCTCATGAGAGTAAAAGCTCTCTGGTAACTTCTGGTTTTAACTACAGATAAGAAAAATCAAGTCTATCCCAGACTGCATGAAAGCAAGACAAAGAAAAACAAAGAAACAAATCAACAAATTTTTTTTTGATATAAAATATTTTATTTAAGTTTGTAAAATTGTAAATTTAGATGTACCAGGTAGCTGCAACCAAGCTAAAAAACTTTACTTCTTTATAAATTTATAATATTAGATTTCTTTTAGTACACAAATACCAACCTTTAGACTACATATTCCTACTGGTTCTGCTTATAGCACTGTAATTGTGTTCTGATAATACAGCTGCTGTCGATGGTATGTGGTTAAGTTCACCTGAAATAATAAATATTGTTTTCTTATTTTGAAGACTTGTCAATCTTTGGGAAGTAATTGCTCGGGTTCGACCCCACGATGCAGAGAGAGATGAACAACTACATTAATTTTTAACTATGATACTACTAAGTTGTCCACTAGTGGGTAAGCAGTTGTGGCACAGTATGCCACTCTTGTGATATATAATAATGAAATACATAGCCGGGTAAAAAAAAATGTTCTGAGGTAGCCTGCCTTGAGGTAGCAATGCCTTGTGAAGTGAGACCCCCCCCCCCCGCATTCTCTTCGTCCTCTGCTGTCTGCCATCTGTTGTTACTCATGTTAGTGTATATTTTATATTTAGCATAAAAGTTACTTTTAAAATTCCTGTATTTGTATCATGAAGTGGAGGTATCACAGCTGGAATGGCAGGTTCAGAACCACTCTTATATATGTAGCAATATACTCTATGGAACCACTAATACCACTATTTGGTGATTTTGTATTTTTATATTTATTTTATATTTTTGTCTACTTTTTATGATTAAAATTGCCGGCAAGCAAACACCTTTTGAGTACCGCGGGCATGAATTCGTTATGAAATGAGTATATACTTACCACTGTTGGTGTTTTTACTTTATGTTGCTTTTTATAACTCACACACCACAGAAAAGCGTCCTTATCGCAAAATATCACTAAACTACAAAGTATGTACGATAATTCGTCACTTTGTCATCCATGTTCGTCACACTGTAGCAGACACAATAAAATTGTGTGTTTTGGTAGTAATCTTGGTATCAGGACGGAGGAGTAATCTCGACTCAACGTCTGATGAATAAGAAATGCTACAAAAACGAAAAATACACAAAAAATGGCCAAAAAATGTAATTGGAAATTTGAATTTCGTCGTTACCACTTACCAGTATTGCCATAATAGGAATATTAGGAATTGCTTGTACAAATATTAAAATTGCCACTTGGAACAAGTATTGATAGTTTTTATTTTATTTTATAAAATATTTTTGTATATAAAATAATAATCTTAAGTCTTTAATTATCTATTTAATTAATTTGGTATTAATTACAATTAGTACAGGATGGAATATTATTTAAGCGACATCTATCGGCAAGTAAATAAGACACTGAGAATTTTTACCAGTTAGGAAAAGTAGATGGCGCAACTTTCTTTAGAAAAATTAGCAATGACTTGAGTGTCCCCCCCTGGAAAGTGGAAACAGCTTTCAGCGTGATGTCCTAAAGGACGTAATAATCGATATCGATTTTTTTGTAATAAATTTAATATTTATTTTCATACTTACTAATATTACTGAAAACTCTTCATCGGACGAATCTAGTATAAATGATGATTCTGACGACTCATGTTAATAAAAGGAATTAAACTATTTTAGTTGTTTTATTGGTATGCCTTATACTAAGAAGAAAGTAAAACTTTATATAATGTTAATATTTTAATTTATTGGTTTCAACTGTAAAATTTTGTTGTCTTCCTGATTAAATAATTTATTAAATTTTATTTACATATTAGCATTTATTTCTACCAATTATTTGTGGCACAATCGTAGTAATCGTTGTGTGGCACATTACTAAGGGAGCGGTAGCCGTCTATGAAGTGCATAATTATTTAAATGCATTTTTAACTTGAACAATATGAAACTTCATAGGCGTGAGCTGTCAAAAAACTATTAATAAAATAGACAAACTATACGTAGGTAGGTACATAATAATCATATAATAATCAAATTTACAAGCTGATATGGCAACAATAAAATATTTAATAAATCTTTAAAACGTTGATTTTCAATAGTATATTCAAATTGATGTGTAAAATTTCAAAAGATTTCTCGAAAGGAGGGCGCCACACGTATGGCCTAAGTACATTTAGTCTGAGGTTAAGCAGTTTTTTGTGGTATCTCTTTTATGCCTGGTTTTTTGCTTCTATTATATTCGCATCTTACCTGTGCAATGTATTTGTACCTGGAAGTTAAACCAGCTGAAGGAAGAATTGAGAAGGAGAGGTGCATCATGTGGCGGTCCTGACTGATTGATGGATCAACATAGAGCCTAAACCACTCGTCGTAGAAACGTGAAATTTGGAGGACGTATTCCTTTTATAATGTAGACAACTGATAAGAAAGGATTTTTCGAAATTCGTCCCCTAAGTGAGTAAAATAGGGGATTAAAATTATATGAAGCTCTGTCATTCTTAACGTGAAATAAGAAATAAATTTATTTGATTTTTGTCGAAATTCATACCTTAAAGGGGAAAAAGGGGGTAATAAAGGTAATATAGGCAAAGAATTATTTATGATCTGAATTACTTGAAACTTTGTATTAATGCTCTTCAAAACAATTAAATAAACACGCGTTTTAGCATTTATCAAAATTCAATCCCATAAGGGGGTAAAATGGGCGATGAAAGTTTGTATAAAACTCTGTAATTAATATGTAAAAAAGTAGAAAAAAAATATTTACCTGAAGACAAATTAAGTTTTAAAATCACTTTCTTTAAAATGATGTCCACATAGCTTTAAATATATAGATTGTGATTTTGCCAATTTTGGTCGTCTTATTGCTTTAGCCCTCAATCTCTTCAGTTGTCTTTTTGGAAAAAGGCAAAATTCTTCCCCATTAAAAGTTAAAATCACACTACTTAATTATTTATCTACGGTGGATAAGTTTATTTAAGAATGCCAAAGTGCCATATCAGCAATTCATATAATCGGATATCTAAGATGTGTAATATAAATAAAAAAAAACATTTAAACGAATATTTTATTTAATAAAAATGATATAATAACGAAGTTTCGTATGCAATAAGCTGCCTTATTTTAATATATTGTACTTTTTATACTTAACTCATGTTATAATGCAAAAGCTTCAAAGCAATCGGTGTTAAATGTGGCACAGCTTATTGCTGTTTAAATTAATGAAATGACAAAAGTATATACAATAAATCTTTGGTGTAAAAATAATAATAGGTATGTATGTAGCTTCAGATCTTTAATAATTGAAGATCTGGTCGGTCGAAACGATTGCAATTTGCAAATTGCAATCTTTGCCGTGTTTACAGGATAGTTTACCCTCATATCTAAAAATGATATTTTGAGGATCACAATGCCATTTAACAAAGATGTTCATTTTTTTAATTTATTTTATTTATTTAAATAAAGTATTTAAATACCTTACATACTTATTAATAACTATTAAGTCTATGCATCTTATATACGCTACAATATTTTATGACGAATTTATAAACTAAGGGCCCAAACACATTCACCACAGTTTGTACATATGAAAGGAATGTAACCTTTAATTTATATTTTCTTATCATAAAATATTCTTTATATAAATGAGTCTCATTTAAAAATATCAACCAAGATTAAAACCAGTTTAATACTTGGTATGATGAACAGAAGGTAGCGTAATGCAATAGATTAGATTCCTTTCATGCTACCATGCATTCTTTTTTGCTATAAAGCCCTACTTCATAGTAATTAGGCCATGGTCAAAGTGCCTGCGCCCAATCCAAATCCAACACCTTTAGGCCCAAAGTTACGACCGTAGCATCCACGGCAGTAAATTTCACCATTGGGTCCGTCGCACAAATTAGTGGAATCCTACAAGAATAAAAAAAAAAAAAAAATTATAAATCATTAATAATTTTAATTAATTGATTAATCTTTTGACCATATTTTTCATAGTTCGTGTCTTCCTCACAATAGTGACACCGGCTTGTATTGTGTTAGTGCAATTCCAAGCCATTAAATAGAAAAAAAAATCTAGTTCACAGACAGTTAATAGTTATTACAATTTGCTATACCCACTGTCAGCCAGACGTCAAATCTCATTAAATATATGTGTCAAATGAAAAATTCAATGTAAATTGTAAATTAAAAATTATTTTAATCAGATTGTGTTTTTTAAGATATATTCATTATGGCTAGTGCAAAAATAATATCGTTGTTTTTATTCTTAATCACATATCTTGCACATAAAAGCTCAGCGGAATTTTCTACAGAAGATTGTGCCTCTTTGGGTTTTATAAAAGCCAATCTCCTGTGTTCATCGTGTGATCAGCTAAAAGATTTTAGCTTAGATCAAATAGTGGAACATTGCAAAGAATGTTGTCATAATGATGACTCAGCGCCCAAGGAAAAAAAATATGCTAGAGCAATACTCGAAGTGTGCACATGCAAGTTTCCGGCGTATCCACAGATTCAAGCCTTCGTGAAAAGCGATAGACCGGCTAAGTTCCCCAATTTACAAATCAAATATTTACGTGGATTAGACCCAATAATAAAACTCCTTGACAAAGATGGTATTGTAAGAGAAACAGTAGCAATTGAAAAATGGAATACAGATTCAGTAGAAGAATTTTTAAACACGCATCTTGTTAAAGAAGAAGATGATGATCAAGGTTTTTTAAAGACAAATCTTATTTAATTTTTAATTTAATTACTTAATAAAATTGTTTTTAATACATACTATGTTTAATTTACTATTAATATTTATTATTCTCATTACTTATATCTTGAGTTACTCATCTATCCAATATTGTCATTGTTGGCAATTCATTTTGTAGTTTTCCATAATTTACATAGTTAGTACATAATACTTACAAGAGATCTGTGGCAGTCTCCACAAGAGAAGCACCGTCTGTGCCATGTGCCATTCTTCGAATTCATTTGTTCTGCAGCATAGACTGGGAATCCACATCGAGGGCATCCCTGTCCTTTCGCTGCCTTCTGTCCAGTGAATGGAAGCTGTTCTGTGCTGTAAGGGAAGGCATTTTAAAACATTACAATTTCTTCTGAACACATTGTTAATAGAAATTTAAATTCATGATATCAAAATGTTCATATTATAAGGATTTTAAGAATTAAAAAAAAAATAAAAAAAAATAATAATTAAGAAGCAGAAACAATATTTGAAAAGTCTGGTAAATTGGGAAAATGAAATGTTTTTTCTATAGGATTTCTGTATGAACAACAAGAATACAGATAAATTATTAAAATTTAGATACAACAATGTATGCTGGTATAAATAGCTTTGTTTATATAATGAGAAATTTAGGTATTATTTGTTGTTTTTAAGCTTACTATGTGATAGTTGGCTCGGAATCGGTGGAAACCAGTGTTGGTGCATGTCCATAACCAAAACCTCTGGGTCCAAATAACTTTGCGTAGCAAGAGCGGCAATGAATCTCCTTGTCGGGTCCGTCACATGCTAACATTGAGTCCAGAGGGCGATGGCATTCAGCACAGTTGAAGCACTTCTTGTGCCACATCTATAGATATTAATTAATTACAGATTTAGTCATGATCTGTTTCTAAATTTGTGGTTAAATATATTTTAGAATTGTAATTTTTACTTTTGTACACCAGAATATCCATTACCTAATTTTTTTACATGTTACAGTAGGTATTGAATATGATAATTACTTTTCGATTTTCTTATTATCAATTAATTTTGCATGTATCTGGATGAAATAAACACAGCGTATACTCACGGTTCCCTTTGCCAATTGCTGTTCCGCTGCAAAGACCATACCACCGCATCGTGGGCACCCTTGTCCTTTAGGCGCCTTGATAGAGGTGGTGTCTGGATTGTAGAATGGACGGTTTGCAGAGATTTCATCCTCACTGCAAAGTTCACATATATTGATTTAAATTCCTCCATAACATATTATTATTTGAAATTTATTTTTTCTTAAAATAATAAAACTTACGTTAAACCATCAGTTTGTAGGAATCCAGAGCCGCAAGCAAAACCATAACCGTGAGGTCCCCATTTCTTTCCGTAACAGGTCTTGCAGTATACCTCGGAGTCAGGTCCATCGCATGCACTAATGGAGTCTAAAGTCTTAGTGCAATCACGGCATTTAAAGCACTTGCGATGCCACTCACGGCCTTTAGCCAAGACTTGTTCAGCTGCGTATACCACACCACCGCAACGAGGACAACCCTTACCAGGAGGCGCCTGGATTGCAGCAGTATCGATCACTTTTGTTCTTGGAGCATGGTCACTGCAAAGAAATATTTTTTATAATTATGACTATCTTTATCTAAAACTTAGTTGCTAAAATATGCTTTTAATTTTAGGGGTCTTTAAAAAGATACATAAGTAGTATATTAAATTACGTGCTCTCCGAGGCAGTTATACCTACGTTATTATGATACTATTTATACTAATATTAGAAAGAGCCAGTTTGTTTGTTTGAACGCGCTTATCTCAAGAACTACTAATGTGTTTTAAAAAATTCTTTTTGCATTATTTTTACGGAGAAAGACTAATCTAAATATCGTATAATGTATATGTCTTTTTCATACTAACCCTCAAATCGTACCTATCGCTAGTTTATTATATTTAATTCTGCCTCGGTGGTGTAGTGGCTAGCATGTACGGCTGCACACCCGGAGGTCCTGGGTTCGAGTCCCGGGTCGGGCCAAGTTTAGTTATTGAGTCTTTCTGTATAGTAAGCCTCAGTAACAGCCCGGAGTTGGGAAGTTGGCGGTGTTTCACCCCCGTGCCTCGGAGAGCACGTAAAGCCGTCGGTCCTGCGCCTTGACTCTCACTGGTCGTGTCGAGCAGTCGTCCCACCGAAGTATGAGAGTGACAGGAATAGAGAGTGCACGTTGTGTCTGCGCGTACACTTGTGCACTATAATATCTCCTGCGCAGTTGGCTAGTCTCAACGAGATTGGCCGCCGTGGCCGGAATCGGTCAGGAGAACATCACTCACTATATTTAAATCCCTTTTTATAAAATACAATTTATCATAGTAACTATTTACTAATTTGATCTATACATATAATAAAATTGTAACTAAGCCGAATCTGTAGGTACATTAGATATTTTTTGGGAAATCTTATTGAAATAGACATTATTATCGATACAGAGGCCGAATCTATAGTTTTTAGATTTTTTGTCTGTCTGTCTGTCTGTTACCACATCACAGGAAAACCACTGGAGTGATTTTGATGAAAGTTGGTATGGCGATAGCTGGTTATCCAGGGTCAACATATAGGATACTTTTTAATCCGCGAAAATATCTCATTTCTAAAAAAAAATACAAAAACTGCAATGTAAGAGTAGGTAATATGTAAAACCTAAGAATTTGGTTTTTGGTTATCTGAGCGCGTGTGGAGCCGCGGGCAATGCTAGTTATATTATATTACCTTTTTAATATTATTTCTAATTTTTAACACCTGACGTAATAACACCTCGTGTTGTAAGCTTGAAGAGATTGTTTTAAATATCGGAGGTTTTTTATTTATATTCTATGTGCCTATCAACATTATACCCTACTCTATATTATCGTATCTATTGAGATAAATGTACACAGTGTTACGCCATTACTTGCTGTCTGAAAGGTCGTATGTTATAATCTATAAATAAACAATATAAATGAGTAGAATCTGCATCAGATTAAATATGTTGTAAGGCGCGTGGCTAGTCTTGCCTATATGTATTAAAATTAGTTCGTTCGAGAACGGACAGCGTGTTCTATTTTCGCATTGGCGTCTTGCCATCTCTTGTTTGTATTATAAGCTGTTTTTATGAAAGTGTAGCGATGGAAATAACCTAAACCTGTCTGTAACCTGAGATGATAATATTTGACAAATGGTACCTACTAAAATATTTATAGAGATTAGGTACGCAACTATTTGAACTATATATATTAGTATGATATATTGGAAAATTAATAATATGTAAGAAAATTCAGATAGATAAATGTGTTAAAGTCATGAAAAGAACCAATATTATACTTTATTGACGTATCTATAAATATTTAAAATTAAAATTAACAAATATTATGACTTGTAAGGTACTTTGATGTCATTTTTGATTTTTTTTGTTATTTGTGGGTCGGCTGTCTGTAACAACTATATAATGCCTTAGAGACATCTTGAACCTTAGTCTCTCCCGTGACCATGATTGCTGTAAAGCATTCAAACGGGAACCAAAAATCAAAATAAATCCGCGAAAAAAATCTGAAATATAGTTATTATTTAAAATATCTATAAATTTATAATTATTTATATATAAATATCCTAATAATATGTATTCATAAAACCCTATTATTTCTTTTAGAAGGAACGTAAAAATAAACTAAAGCTATTTCTGATAAGTATATCACTTTCATAACTGATAATAATAAACTGATTTTATATCGGGTAAACAAAAAATTTGGCTTGGCTTTAAAAAAATTAATAATCTTACCCATTGGTATAAGGATCGCTCTGTAAAACTCCGGCTCCCTTGCCGTAGCCATATCCTTTAGGCCCAAATTTCTTGGCGTAGCAAACTAAAGATAGAAAGAAACAATGATTTAATGCTATTGGTATTTAATATGTGCACATGACAGGACAACTCATGCCGCTTACCTTGTTAATTGTTTACTGGGATAATAATTAAAAAAGTAGAAAGAGAATTATCAAAAGCAAATGAGTTAAATATTTAATAATCATTCGAAACATATACAGTTATAGGAAGTTAGCTTTGATGCAAATTGGATAGAGGAACAAACCTTTGCAGTAAATATCTTTGTCTGAGCCTTCACAACAGTTGGTGGAGTCCAGCCGCTTTTGGCAGTCGCCGCATTTGTAGCACTCCCTGTGCCACGCCTGGACATACAGTGAACAATGAGGGTATATGGGATTGACCATGCGAGGGTGCTACAGGTACACGCGGTTACCACAATGATACTTGTTGTTGACACCCAAACAGTTCATAAAACCGTGCGTTCGGGCACTAAACTTAAAAGGTTTAAATACCTTGACAATATATTTCTTTATCTGGTCCATCACAATGCGTCATGGAGTCTAGACACTTGTTGCAAGTAAAACATTTGAAGCATCGCTTGTGATATCCCTACGGTATAATTTTCGCTGTTACATTATGTTAATAAGCATCGCATACCCTTGTGTTTCAAAAAGAGTAGCATTATGAATCACATATTATGTTGTTTTCATGTATATAATGAATCATAATCTTAGCTTTAAAGTAGAAATGAAGAGTTATGACAATGTTAAATTTTGGTTAATTCTTTTAAGGATTTTAGATAAATAAAAATAATCTGACGATAATTAATTGTCTTACCCGTCCGCGAGCTAGCATCTGTTCAGCAGCGTAAACGTAGCCGCCACACCGCGGGCATCCTTCTCCTGGTGGTGCTTTCGCTATCATACGAGGTTCCATGCATGCCCCATTCGTTCGAAGGCCACCCCTGTGCACACATAATAAATTATCATTATTTGCTCACCAGATAAAAAGCTGGTTGAGCAACAAAAAATAACTGTTAAAAGCCTTTTGAGTGCGCTTTCTTGACATTCCTACAAAAACATTTCACACACATTGCAGCGAAGCAGGTGATGCCGGCGGTGCACCTCCGCCGTAATGGGAGAAGGTAAGGGCTCCCGACCGCCCGCACCTTGCCGGCCCGTGACTAAGCCTAGCTACACATACTACATAAGTTTTATCAGAGGGCGCTTTCCTTATCCCATCACATAGATTGCTTCAATTAATTATATGATAAGCGTTAACTAAAGGTTAGTTTGGATCAGTGGCCAGGAAAGTTACGAATAATAAGAATGATAATATAGATTTTTCCATGCTTTTAAGGTGCATCTCGAAGCCGTGCTTAGGCTTTAAAATTGGGTTCTCACCGTTACTCTGTTGTTTTCGGATCGCCCCGATCAGGAGGAAAGGAAAATCTAGGGGAGAATGTGGTAAGACGTACGAGTCGCTGCCGACTAGCGTTGATCTCGTACTAATCCCGATCACATTCCCATTTAACAACTCGGAATTGGTAGTCGACTCTTTTATTACATTTTTTATAAATTATAAATAAATAGACCGATAAACAAAATAAATTAAGCGATAGCGATTAAATAATCCTAACTAAAGTAATTTAAAGTACAGTGGCGTTCGCGAGGCACCGCTGGATGGCCGAGATGTGTGTCGGCGTCCCGCTAGCTCTGCTGGATGGCTGCTCGCGCTCAATTCCTGTTGCGACATAAACGGAGACAGGTCATGCATATGTCGGGCAGCGCATAATATACAGCCGAGCGCGCACTTTCTGCTTATATGAAATTATGTACACGCGGTTAATGTTGTTACGTACGGGCCCGTAGGCCGGTCGTCTAAGCGACCTTAGATAAGGAAAGACCCTCAGTGGCGCGGGCGGCGGGAGTTTGAATAAATGTCGTACTTACGCGTTCTCGCCTTTAAGGTGATCACCGGTGTCCATAGATAGACAACCGGCACCGCCACCGAAGCCGTAGCCTTTAGGTCCGAATTTGCGCGCGTGGCAAACTTTGCAGTAAAGTTCTCCTTCGTGTTCTGTGCAGTTAGTGGAATCCAGTAATTTCTGGCACAGACCTATAAAATTACAGGATTTAAAACTTTGCAAATTTTTCTTAGTTATTTAAAATAATTGTAAATTACATGCTACATCGAATTAATTTTTGTTTGAATAAATTTTATGTATTATATGAACATTGTTTTATTACATAAATTAATATTTTTTACATTATATGCCTACTACGAGTTTTTGAGACAAAATTAAAACGAACGTCATGCGTTGCTTTCATAGCAAGTATTTTTAACATTGTAAAAAATCCAGTTTCGGCACATAACTGTTACTTGGGTGCAAATATATTTTTTATTTTTAACATGTAGGAGGTACATATTTTGTTTTTAACATATTTATTTTCAATAATATCAAGTGGAAAAATATATAAATTAAATTAAACCATCAAAACTTACCGCACTTGAAGCACATCTTGTGCCATTTAAGTCCACCGGCGACACGTTCTTCTGCCGCGTATACGGACTTGCCGCATTTCGGACACTTAGGGTTGTCTGCGGGTTTGAAAGGCATTGTGCTCGCTTAACTTATCCTGAAAGGAAAATATTATAATTTTAATTGACAAGGTCGAGAATATTAGCCATTACAGTAAACTTTTATTTTCAATGAAGCAACGTGTGGATATAACTTTGAATTCGATATTAAAGTAGTAATGTATAGTTAGGTGGGTATAAAAGGTATTTAAATGCCCAAAAATTTTTTCGAAACGTATTAGTACCAAAATAAACCATCATTGAATCATTGACTAGATTAATGCTAATTATTATTGCATGCATTGGCTAAAATCCAAGTAGCCTGCATCACTGACTTCAAAAAAAACTTGCACTGAATTGCTCAACAAGCACATGTACCAAAATATAGGTTTGACTACTGCGGCCTTTCCCTAATATTATGAAAATTTCACGTAAGGACGCGGAATGTAAGGCGGGCGGCGCGTGGGCTGCGCTCTAGCGCTCCTAATTTGGGGCGTCCAGCCTCCAGGTAAAGTTACGCTGGAGCGGCAATGCAACGCTATAAATAGAACGCATAAGGAAGGTATCGTAAAATCACTCGCGTTTAGGTTAAGTTTTATTAGGATTGTGTCACTTTCACAATTCACGGACCTGTTCGTCGAGTCGCTACGAGAGTCGAGCTCCCGGACGCGTATACAGTCGAAGGCGTTGGTGCCGAGACTGAGGTGCGCGGAGGTCGAATGATGCGCGAGGGCAGCGGGCCACCGTAGTCTATGCGCGAGTTGCACACGGCCCCAGTGGAGGGGCGTCCGCGCCGCCCTCGCACCCTCGCCCTCAACTCCTCAGTGCTACTACCCCAACAGTAGTCAGAAACTTACAATATACTAAGAATTTCTTCTTTAATTTTTTTTTCTTGAACTCTCCAGGAATAATCCTAACTTAATTAATAGGCAAACTACGTGAAAAACTTATACTATCCGTTTATCATAGTGAGATTTGTGTATTAAGGAAATGCATATATTTTGATTCAATAAAGGTTTCAACATAACAGATAACTATAATAGACCATAATACAACTATAATAGCCAATAGATTTTACTGTTTATTTCCATTTAAATTAATGTCTCTTCTAATGTTTGTGCAAGAACTTCTTAGAAAAAGTAATTTATTAAAGATGTACATAATATGTATAGTGTGCACACAGCCCTACACTGCAGCTATATTTTATTTACATTCTTTAGTACTTATTGCCTTTAGCTAAATTGTTTTCTTTGTCATATAAGGTAGGTAACATACTATCTATGGTGTTTCTTTTTATTTTCTATGCTACGTGCAACGTTAAAGAGACATGATATGAAAACGAATAATCACCAAACGACTACCTACACATACATAATATATAATTTATGTATTTAAGTAAATAGGTAGCTATTGGATTCGTCAAAAATATCAAATTTAATTAGAATGTACGCAGCAATATAAGAAAGCGAAGATTGAGGGATGTTGTTTAATTAATGGTACTTAAATTATGCAATTTACTAAATTACGAAAAAACGTACAAGGTACGAACACAATACAATAACATTTTTTTTTAAATAATAAGTGTTAGAAAAATAACTATTACCTAGTTAAGTATAAAAATCCGACTAATGCAAGTTTGGCCCACACATTGAGGCTTCCATAGCATGAAACATGAAATTAGCTAATTTTAAAGTACCTACTAATTTGTTACATTAACATGTTACAAAGTAAAAAAAATGTTAACCCATTAACAATATTGAATACAAATAAGTTTGTTTTTTATAGTATTACTATTGAAAACGAAGTTAATTTTGTGGCGGAACGAGTAATACGGAAGATATCATTTTTTTTAGTTTCTACTTTGACTACGGAATTGTCTAGTGGTTACATGAGATACCTGCCTACCAAATTTTAACAAGGCAACATCAAGAATCTTCGAGTAATACGGCTATGACATACGGTCAAACAAACAGACGGACAAGATGAAATTATAAAGGTTCCATTTTACTCGATTGCCTATGGATTGCCCTTGAGTATATTTCATAAGGTAGGTTAAGGTAGGGTACTTATATCTTAGTTGTATGTTTACTAACTTTTACAAGCTCTTTTTATCTAAATAAAATATAGCACGATACATAAATAAATATCATAACATCTTCTTTTAATCGAGTCTCACCACTAAGAACGTGATTGCATTAATCTAGTTTATTCACAGACAACAAAAGTTATTTAAAACTATGTATGCACAATTATTATATTTAATCTACATATAATAAAATTCTGAGTCGAATCTGTACATTAAATATTTTTTGGAAAATCTTATTGAAATAATCATTATTATCGATACAGATGCCGAATCTATAGTTTTTAGAATTTCTGTCAGTGTAAGTTAAAATTTTATTTTAGGTATAGATATAAAATATTATATTTAATCATGAACGAATTAGCCACTATATAGAGATTATAACTATCTAAATATTTATATGTTAAATTTATATACTATAGAAAATTTCACTCTTTAATTTAACACATCTATTCTTTGTAGCAAGATTAATAAATTAAATATTACGGAGCTATATTATATACGTAGGTATTTATTATATCCACCAAATAAATAGCTTAAAAATATCACTCAAAAAATTATTTGATAAAAAATGGTAAAAATATATGTAATAAATTATAAAACCACATAGTAATCATATCGACTATTTTTTTTTTAAATAATATTCAATATCTCTAAATAATAAAACCACAAAAAATATATTGGATAGCAATCATATCAAACCAAAAAATAATTCATTATATTCATTTAGAAAGTAATTGTGTTGGTGTCAAATCGATTTTTATATAACAAGTTAGCCTAAAATTTGCTCAACGTAAGTAGTTTCCATTCAATTTACTAGTTCAATGTAGATTTATTAATTAAAAATTTATAAATTAGCGGTAAATATAGATTAGATAGACTATATACTGTTTTATAAATATATTTTTTTCTAACTTAAACTTGACGTATTGTTGTAGATGGTAGGTCCACCACTATTGAAAGAAATCCGAAGTAGTAATTCCCATACAAAATAACCAGTTCTGAATTTTTCCAGCTGTTCTTATGGGTTTTCCCCTATTTTTTTATATTTGAACCATCCCTGATATACGTCCAACAAAACAAAAAAGAATTTTTCAAATCGGTTCAGCCGTTGTTGAGTTTTAGCGAGACTAACGAACAACAAATGATTTTTATATAATACATAGATAGATATACTTGACATAGTCCACTCGTACGTCATTAGAAATGAGAAACTCTATTGTTAATTATTTAATATGAAACATAGCTATTCTTATATAATGTAAATATGAATCATAATTCCATTTCAGTCTCGTTAGACAAAAATATACAAACAACATGTTTGAATCATAAATTTGGCAACTTTAAACAATGACCATCGGTCATTATTGCCATTTGTATTTTTGTAACCAAACATTTGTGTTGTGATAAGGGGGACACTCATACATCAGACGATAGAAATAAACAGTTGTAATACACAAAGCGGCTATATTTATGCAAAACTATATGCACCTAATATTATATTAATTATATTGTTTGTACCTTCCACGTATTACGATAAAAAAAAAATATTTCATCCGAATCCTCTATCTATGCTTAGCTTTGGTAAAGGGTAGATAAGTAGGGTAAATAATTTCCACATTGGTTAGATATTTTGAAACAAGAAAATTCTGATATTTTAATTATTAATACATGATATAATATACGAGTACCTATGTATGTTCAAAATCTTAAATGTGTTTGTATGTATTACATACATACTAACCTTATAAAGGTTAGCAGATATGTAATATATACATATAATATATACCTATAGGGAAGGGTTTCGTATTATCGTATATGTGCTTTTTATCCATATGACTTTTATTTATTTATTTATCTGTTTATTCAGGAAAACATACAGCTTTTATTTTACAAAAATGTTACCTACATAAGGTAAAAATAAATCTGACCAAAAATCGATTACGAGAATAGTTAGTTCTACAGAACCTAGAACATTTAAAGAAATGCGACTAAGAAGATAGGAGTCCACGTTGTTATTGATGACTTTAAAGAGAAATAATTGAACTCTATGCTCTCGTCGCAATTCAAGTGAAGTGAGTTGCGGTAATAGGTCTTTAAATCTATGTTTTACCCTTCTTAGGAATTTATTCTGTATTTGTTCTAATTGGTCTATGTAAATACTGTAACACGGATTCCAGACAGTAGATGCCAATTCTGATGAATGATATAAAGTGAGGTAAGTATTAATATTCTTAAAATCTTGACATTGTCGAAATATAAAACCGAGCATTCTGTAAGCTTTAGCTAGGACATTGTCATGTGTGACGCAAAAGAAAGCTCACTATTAATATGTACCCCTAACTCTTTCACTTCAATCACCCTATTCAGACTAATATTGTTTAATTTGTAATCAAAATTTATTGTTTATTTCTTATGAAAAAAGTAATAGAGTGGCACTTATCAATATTCAACTTTTATTTATTTTTATTACAATAATTATAGAAGTTCGAGAAATCCTTTTGAAACAATAAATAATCATTAACAGTTCTTACAAAGGTATAAATTTTAGCATCATCCGCGTAAAGGAAAACTTTAAATGTACGGAAACAATCCACTATACTATTAATAAATATATTAAAAATCTGTGGGCCAAGGTGTGAACCCTGAGGTACTCCCGATGTAATTGGGACGAATCTAGACGTTTAGCATATGTTTCACGTAAGTTTGAAATAAGCCACCTAAGTAAATCCCCGTGAATACCAATATTTTCGAGCTTACGTATGTATGTACGTATTTACTCTATGTATGTAGTATATTAACTTCGATGATCGTTCGTAACGTTAAAAAATGTTTTTTGTGTTTTTATTTCTTATTATTATTTGTTGTTACGGCGGCAATAGAAATACATACTCTGTAAAAATTTCAACTCTCTACCTATTACGGTTCATGAGATACAACCCTCTGACAGACGGGCGGACGGACGTACAATATAGGCTTACTAACAGGGTTCCGTTGGCACCCTTCGGGTACGGAACCCTAAAAATGGCACCATAGACTATTATTATTATTATATGGGTATACCTAGTAGATGTAGTATTGACGAACAATGAAATATTTTTATTAGGTTCACAATTAGTCCAGTTGCGGATCGTAGCATATTATAACGTGCTCTGCCAACTTCGGAACACCTGCCTATCTATTAATATTTTTCACAAATATAACAACATCCATGCATTTTGCGAAGTGTGGAAAAAATACCCGTAATACCCGATAAATTTACATATATCGGAATGGATATTTAAATTTCTTAACATATTATATTTTATCTTTCATGTATAAAGAGAAGCTTTGAAGTTTGCTATGCAACCCAACTTGCATTTATATATTATGTATTAATTAATAATAGAGAGTGAATGTAGTGCAATTCAAGGTTGAGCAATGAATTTTCAATTTCACTCAGTGTTACGCAAGTGTTAGAAATGCCGCCTCTAACAGGCATTTTTACCCGACTGCAAGGAAAGGGTTATGTTTTTCGCGCTTATCTTTGTATGTTTTTTGTAATATTCTTTATTCTCTCATATTTTCCTAACCACTCGATGGATTTCTTGAATTAAGGTATCGTTAGATTCGTCTCATTAATCCAAGTAGATAGGTGACATAAAAAAAATTAAATATGGGGGCTGCTAGATTCCATAATGTGAAAAAGAAAAAATGAAAATCGATGAACTATGTCAAGTGGGGTATCCTTGAATAGGTATCAAAAATCATTTTTAGGTTTCTTTTATCATTTTTCATTTTAAATAACAGTTTAGGATATATAATGATTTAAGGTTGGTTAACAACCATTCTCGCTAATTTTTCTACTTAAAAAGCTGTAAATAAATAAATATATTATAAAAATAAAGAATCTGACTGCATAAAAGCTAACTAAAAAGATGAAAACAAGTTTACGAAGGAATATAGTATCATGCAGTCGAAGACATACATACGAGTATGTAGGTACATCTTGCGACAAGGATGGAACGTCTAGGGTCGTAATATGCACTATGCAAGACTTTCGCGTAGGTGCGACTCTTTAAACCTTCCTTTTTATTTCCCTTCATTACAGGGACCTAAAATTGTTCATTCGACCGAGACGATCTATACCTAATTATTGTTCAGTGAAACTGAAACGTGAGTGAAAATTGGCGATGAAAAAAAATGATTTCTACTAGGTACATATAGGTATATTTTGTAGGATAGGATTGTTATTAACGCGCACCGGAAGTCGCGTTTTAAATTTCTAATATCTGACCTGGGGCCTTACCATGAACTCTTATCTCGCATCACTAAGCAATTTTAAATCAAGCTTGCTTTTTAAAGATCATGGTACGAATAAAAGTAAAATTATTGTAATCTTGAAACAAAACAGTCTTAAAGTAAGAATGTTTTAAAATAGGTGATGGTAAGGCCCCTGGCCGTTATTTAAATGCATCACCTGTTAACTCCTAGATTATTTCTTTGTTTTCCCGATACTATGAAAGTGAGGTCGGCTTGGGTCTAAAATTGGGTCTTATATTTTTTTCGTATTATGTCAGTCTAAAAATCGTTTGCTTGTCTTCTTACCTTTATTTTTGACTTATTTTCAATCTTATAAGGATTATACCATATGCATCATGATTTATAAATCTGTCTTTGACCCTAAGATAAGTACAGCTTGGTACTTAGACGTTAGATCATACAACGCTTATCTAAAGATTTATCTATGACATTCAACAGTGTATTATAAAACGCAAAGCTCACACCACACCCTGGTTATTTGCTTGAGCCCTTTGCTTCTCTAAAACAAGGCGTAGTTCTGGTTTACCTATAAAGTTTTGACACAGAACATAATTTCTGGAAAGTACAAAAGTAAATGGTCGCCAATACTAGAGACGTGCTAGGTCAATAGTTAGACAATCACGTATCATTCTGTGTGAATTTAGAGCAAAGTCTATTGTAAACCAAACAAGCAACAATAGTCATTAAGTGTTAGTTGGACTCACGCGGTTTAAAAACATCTTTCTATTCTTGAGGTTTGAAATCCCTTATATTTATCACTCACTCGCTTCGCTCGGGTTTGTCCCTAGCTTGCTTCCCAATACAAACTTCCATTCCCATTTTTACACCCTTAAGGGAAGATTTCCATGATAAAAAGTATCCTATGTCCTTCCCAGGGTCTCAAACTATCTTCTTACCAAATTTCATCTAAATCGGTTCAGTAGATCCAGAGAGTACCCCCTACAACGTCACAAACTCGCAAACTTTACCACTTTATAATATTAGTGTAGATGATATTTAACGCAAGTATATCTCATATTTTGGTACAATTTAAAACAATTAAAATTAACAGAACAAGCAAAGAAAAAGAGCAAAAACAAATATTAAAAAAAATGTAGAGCAAAACTTTTTGCACAAAAATCTGATGAATTCTTATTAACATTAGAACTTTGCCTTATAAAGATACTTAGACAGGGCCTGATTTTGTTTGAATGTTATAACATTTTAACAGTCACAACTAGTCAACCATTATTTAAAAAAAAATACTATCCTCGTGCCAAAAAATCATAACAATTTTATTCTTACAGATGCTGTGGCCTGTATGTTTTAAAGTAGCTTGGATTAAAAAAGCATCCTTATAATATTTTTGGGTTACTAAGTTTTTTTTAGTTTTTGCAGAATATATCAGTTGAAAAGTATATCTTCATGAAAATCCTATGGAAGGTTGTGCTAAACAAAATTATTTTAATCAAACAACAACAAAATTATTTAATCTCGTATTCAGTTGTAGTATCGTATTCAATTGGTACAGTATTTTATATACACAACTTTGTACATCTATAACAATGATGAATTTACCGTACCTATTGAGAGTAGAGGTTAAATCAGAACACACATGGCGCACAAGGTTGCCTTGCTTAAATGGAACGTCGAACATGTATAGTGTACACAAGTTTCCTTCTATGTCAAGTTTCTAAACATAAATCTGAACTATTACAAAATAACATATTAAAGCATACACATAAAATAAATAAAATTAAAAATTCTTGCATTACATTAAAAATTGTTGCATTACATTTCAAAACTAGTAACGAGATTGAACACATATGCATTTTTTGGTTAAAAATTTTTCATTGTATAATCTACATATCGATAGAGTCGATAGAATAGCAGCCAATTTTAGAAGCTTCTATTATCATGAGAATAAATAATTAATTCTTATTGCAACTAAATGAAAAGGCGAAACTTTGTTCAAATTATGTTTAAGTAAAGAATTCATCATTCATCAATTCATAGTGTAAAGTAGTCATCTGTTAAATGAGTTACTTGGTGACCTGCTATTTGCCACGTACTATCCAATTATAGTGGTAATCAATCATATGGAGTAATCTTCATTCGTTAAAATTTATAGAAATACAGATATATTTGGCAGTTGTACAAGGAACAAATACAAAATGAAGGTATAATTAGTTTATAAACCTGGCACACCAGAAAGCCATAAAACACAGAATTTTGACTGAAACTTCTATAGGAAAAACATAAGTGATAATAATCTGTTATATCATGCCAACAATAGTTCAAAAAGAATTAACAGTTTTGTCAAAACGTATTATGTAAGATTATTATATTTATAGTAAATACTAGTAGAACCCGCGGCTTCGCTCGCGCTAAAAGTACAAAAAACTCTAAAAAGGTTGGTATCTAGGTTTCATACAAACTTTCATCCCCTATTTTACCCCTAGTTCAAAACTATCATATGCTCGCAACTAACCTAACTACCATTGTCTATTGAGCGCGTAATTGACACTGCATATGAGGTAGGATGGTAGGTCATATGTATACTGTATACGTATCTATAGAAAGAAAATACGAATGGCCTAACCAGTTAATAAATTATACACTTAAACCTTTCTCATGAATCACCCCATTTATTGATAAAAACCGTATGAAAATCCATTGGGTAATTTTTGAGTGGATCGCGTTCAGACAGACAAACAGACGTACAAACGCGGTGGGGGACTTTATTTAATAATATTATGTAGTAATGTAAAATATATTTACATTTAAAATTAACGATATTTGTCATGTGTATTTATAACACGCGACATAAATTGCATAGCCGTAAAATTAAAAAAAAAAATGAGTCTGAGAAATTTAATGTTGGCAAGATTTCAAACCTGTCCATATCTCGATCGCTCCCCTTTGTAACTCGTATGTCACAAAAGGTACCACTGGTTACTTTGTAAATTCCTGTTACACAATGTAATCATGTCATGAAAAATTAGTAAAATTTAGTTGCATCTTCTGCATATTTTTCATTATTTCTTTATAAAAAGATTGTAAATTGTAAAAATATATTCATATAGTCTACAAATCAAAGGTTTTACAGAAAATCTCTCTATTTAAACTGCATGCATATTATTACATACATGTAGATATACTATAGTATAAGCATTGCATAAATAGGATCCATATTAATTAAAACAATTGCCTTCGTAATCTTTACTTAAACTATCATATATATATACATATATATATATATATATATATATATATATATATATATATAACCTGGCTTTTATTACACATTACTTCTAGTGATAATAAAATAAAAGATAGAAAATAAGAGCACTTTTTACGCAATGTCTTGATATTACACAATTTCCAGATATAAATAAAATAATTGATCATGACGTCGACGGAATTTACAAGATTGAATAACATTCAGGTGTTTACAGCTCAATCGCAGGTGTGGTAAATCTCTACACGCGTGGGCTGTTGCTAAAATAACATGGAAACCCTCGCAGCATCGCTTAGTCAGCGCTACGAAACTCTTTGCGTGTTACTCATCCTCGCTCTAGGTAGCCACCCACGCTGTATCAAAATTTCATACACTACTTTTAGAGAAGCGTTATAATAGGGCGGTTATTCGAATGACAAGTGCTGAAAATATTTATTAAGAAGTTACTTTTTTAAAGTTTACCTCATTGGCAGCAATGGGGCCCTCTTCAAATACGTCATAACCATTTTATTACTGGTTAAATACGCGCACCGCTAGATAAAAATAAGGGGTTTTTAACATGAAGAAGGCTGAAAAAGATGCTCATAGAGTACGTGATTTCTTTTAAAATGAGGTAGAGAGTTTCAAAACAACTTTTCAAGTTGTAAGCATTCTGTTCCTTCCCCTTTAGTGGTTACTTATAAATTATAAGGTAAACTAATAAATATTAATTTATTAACGCGATAACAACAGGTTTAATCAATTACTAAAAGGTTTGCCATGTTCGCATAGCTTACTTCGCCATTGTCAAGTGGAGTTATTAAAGTTCCACATTTTAAGTTTACCTTGTACCTACCATGACTGTCCTGTTTAACATCCCACTCACCACTGTTAATCCACCACACGGACCAGTGCGAGTTTGCAGACTTCATATGTCTTTGGAATACTTTTGAGATATAGGTTTCCTCACGATATTTTCCTACATCGCAAGGCGTAAAAATTGGTTCGCACGTATCACGAGTATCAGAGGTGCGCAGCCTGAGATTTGAACCCGCTTCATTCGATTTCCCAAGCGAGCATGTCACCAATGTCACCACTGAACAATTACAATGTCTTTAAAGAGAAAAGGTGCGCATAACAGGAACAAATAAAACAAGCAAATATAAAATATTTAAGGTAAAACTGAGTTGGTTTTACAAATAAAAAAATAAATAAAAAATGTTTACGGGAACCTATGGTCACATGCTAGTTTGTATCACGGTTGTCATTATGATCATATGCTGACATAAGATATACACAATACACTTATAAGCTTATAAGTTCGTAAGTTGGTGTAGGAGATAATATCAGTTGCCGCGCCGTGGCGTCAGGTTGACTGGCTAAGCGATCCTTTTTTTTTTTTTTTTTAACGTTGGGAAATGCATTTACGCACGAGGTGTGGGACTCACCGGCAAAGCCAGTACTACCCACTAAAACCCAACAAAGCCTTCCTCCGTCTTAATGGGGCGTCGCAGGATCGCTTACGCATTCAACTACGACGCCCCGACGGCAGGTCTGCCGAAGCAGACCACAACAACCACGGGGTTACTCCACAGTCCACTCTGCTATCAGAGAAGTACCAGGAGCAACCCGCACGGTACACCGCCCTCCGAAGAGGGACACCTCCCACCGCCCACCGAAGTGGGCCACCTCCCTGTGCGTTTCTTGGCTTCGCGCCCGGTTGGGTTGCCGGGCACTACTGAGCCCCCCCACCACGACAAGGTGAACGCACGTTGGGGGGGTGGCTAAGCGATCCTGCGGCATCCCATTAAAATAGCGAAGGTTCCGTTGGGCTTAGCAGGTAGTACTGAGTTTTTTAGCTGATGAATCCCACAAAATAACCTTACCACATACATACAGTAGACAGGTGACATGCGGAAATAATGCATTTCCCGATGTTAAAAAAAAAAACAAATTAAAAAAAAGACAAAGAATTAGAAGATAATCTCAGCAACTGCTGATCAGATTCTGCAAATTATTTTACTAATAGTAACGTTCCCACCAAGTTCTATATTTTATTTCGATAAAAATGTGGTTACTGTTAGAAAACATATTACATAACTTTAATTGGAATCAGGGAAAACTGACCGTCTAGTTGCTCATCGGCTTGCGCTGCCTAATCAAAGCAATAAAATTTGAAATGCAGCAATAAAATATATAGCAAAGAGTATCCTAGATGTATCTATTATAAGCTAGTAGTACTTACCTACTTATTAAAATAATTCTGCTAAGACCTAAAAGTAGTAAATAAAATACAAATATAGTATTTAAAAAATATACACATATATATAATATATTTTTGATTTTTTAGACGTTTAAATTTTAAAAGTTACTGAACATTCTGTATTAAATTACGTAATAGAGGTTCGACCTAATTCCATATCTTGTATACCACAAAGAGAGAAAACGCTATTTCCTGACAAAACGCGGCGGACATAACAGTGCTATTTCTGGCTGAGAAAGCGCTCGGCACAGAAACATGAGTGGCAAGAGCCATGGTATTTTTCCTAATAATATGCTAATCGGAATAAGAGCTGACTCGATCTTAAGGAAAAATTTTAATCGAAAATATAAATACGCTTTTGGTGAAGTGACCTTAATAGTTTCTCGAAAATTATCCAGATGTCTGTCGCCGCTACATTATCATAGGAAATTTGGAGTGCCAATTTATTTTGAAGAAAGACAAAATGAGTTCGTTGACAGTTTCTGATTTGCTCTACCTGTATGACGCAAAGGAGTCAAATGTCGATCGAATGTGTCATATTTAAAAATGATTGTTCAATGTCGAGTGAACACAGGAGTCATGTAGATAGAAGTAGCGTCCGTGCCAAAACGTGACGACAATATTGTACAATATGACACTATATATCGAGAGTTATGAGTAATACACTTATAATTTGTTCATATTACTAAAAAGGATACATGCTTTTTTTTAAATAATAGGTAATTAATAATAATTTAAAGCGAAGCTTATGAAAAAAAGTATAAATAAGAAAAATCTCAAAATAACTACAATACTGGATGCTAGAGTTAATTCTAATGATTTTAAACATGAAATCTTAAATATCAAGAGTTCATATAAATACCAATGTCCAAAAATAATTAAATCATGAACATGAATCAATCATAATTTATAAAGTGTTGCCAAAATATAATTAGACTTAATGCTAGTGTTTGTAATTAAATGCACGTGATATATACACGAAACCTCAAAGTCTATAATGTTGAAGGACCATTAGTGTTATTCGAAGCGGTACACATTTAAATTTTATCCTTAAATAATTAAATTACATAAACATTTTCTTATTTTCCATGGAAATACATATTACGTGAATGATAATTGTCACTCATAAAGTTCTACTTACATATCAGTGCACGCTGCAATAATTTCGTATATTACCTCTACCTCGGACTGAGGAATAATAAAGACAGTGTCCTACAACTAAATATAAAGCCAAACAATAATGATTTAAAATAATATATATATTTTTTAAAACAGACTACAAATATTAATCAAAGATTTATTGCTGTGATAAGTAAATAAATATTAATTAATAAAAAAAAACGGATTTTATTATAATAAAAAATATATAAATAAGCTAATATTATGCTCAAAAAATGTGCTTCAAGGAAAAGAGGACTAATGCTTAAAAAATACACAATAATATGATTTTATTTTTATACTTCATATTAACTGTCAAAAATTTGTAAAGAAAGTATGACAAAATTGAGAATAGCTTAAATAGCAAAACACGCTACTATTTTTGACTTTGACATTTTTTTGGCACGCTCAGTCTATATACTTCTTTAAACTGAGACCTCCACGTATAGTTTTCTAGTAATTCTAAAAAAATATAATTTTCCAAAAAATAACTATAAAGCATTTTTATGTAAGTTTTATTAATGTATTATATAAAATTTTATTGCTTAAAAAAGTTTAAAATATACTTCTTATATTTGCGGTTTTATACTATGTATAGTCAGTCAAAAAATATACAACATAAAACCATAACGATAAAATAATACAGCTGTTCTTAATAAGAATTTAAGTTTGAATATTTTTATTTTTTAATAACTTCTTAATTTTTAAAACAAAAATAAAATAAGAATGTGGCTTTACAAAATTTTAAAGTGGCAGTTACAGAGTCATGGCTATATTTATCACGATTAACAGTTACTGTACTGATATGCTGACATGAGCCATTTTTGGACGCGAATGAAAATACACTTTGTACTTCGTGAGGAGCAAAAAATGTTTAGTAGAAATATATTAGGCTGTTGCCACGTAACATTTTTCCTTTGCTTCATCATGTAATTCGGCTTTTTGGACGCGAATGAAAATACACTTTGTACTTCGTGAGGAGCAAAAAATGTTTAGTAGAAATATATTAGGCTGTTGCCACGTAACATTTTTCCTTTGCTTCATCATGTAATTCGGCTCCACCATAGTCTTTAGGCTCAAGAAAATATACTAATTTACGACTCTATCATGTTATTCTGACAGAACAGATAAAAGTTAAAAAGCGACGTGAGTATAATAAAAACAATCTTTATAATGATGCTATAAAATTAAATAACAATTTATAATATTTAAAGCTTGGTAAAACAGACCACCGCTTTTACTTCGAATTTCCTGTTTGAAGCATCAGATGTTCTAAAAATACGTTATGATGGATTAACGGTAACAGATGAAAAAGTTAACGCGTTTCAATTTAGTTTTTAAACATACTCGTAACACAGATCAGATATTATTTTAATATAAAATTCAATTATTTTTATTTTTATTTGTGTATATGGAGAACTTGGGACATGCCTAGAGTCCAATGTGCGTCTGAGCCGGTGAGTATACTCGTAGTATAAACTTATAGTATACAGTAAAGAGTTTGGTGGTGACAAAAAGGTTGTGTTAAGTACTAGTTTCATAAAACGTATCAAAAAAACTTAGTTTTTGACTGAGTTCAATAAGGAGGAGATACTCAATTCAGCTATATTTTTTGTTGTGTATATTATTCGATATTTATGCCAATAAATGTAGATCAATTTCTACAATTCTTTTTATAATGAATAAATACCTCAACTTTTTTTTGCATCAGTGGCCTATATGAATTAAAAAAAATCCCTGGGCGTAGAAAAAATATTTTTATTTTTAATAATTTTCTTTGGTGACCATTAAGTAAAAATGTATCATTTCGTTCATATTCAAAATAATTTATAATATTCCGATCGCTAACAAAATTCACAGGATCACCCGCTGGGCTAATCTGAATATTACCTAAAAATTTCATCAAAATCGCTCCAGCTGTTTTGGAGTCCATAGGAAACATACATAGACACATTGATTTTTATTTTATTAAATCAACAATTGAAATGTATTTATTGCTCGGAAAATGGAGTCTTTTATGAAAATTTAGTGACACACCGACTGCAGCGCCACCTACCAGATCCATTTATGAATTCAAACCTTGCAGGAGCCCATTGAAATATACACACAAAATTTATACAAATCGGTCGAACCCTTAAGGAGAAGTAGGTTAACAAACACACGTACAGACGAATTATATATATTAAGATAAATAAATAAAAAATACTTACTCAGTACCACCATCTATCGCCAAATGTTAAAGCTATTATGTAACTAATACTTATAGTAGAACATCGGAAGCCATTTCTAAATCAAGCTCCATCTAACGGAGCCCAGAAAGATGAGAAATACTTGAATATTGCCGCACGCCATCTATTGGTAGGTTTAGTATTTTGCACTCAGAAGCGGTGCTGAAGGCTCCACCACCATCGTTCAACTGAGTACCGCAGGCTTCTACAGTACGTCATCTATTAATAAAATCCCACACTGAAATAGAGAACGGTAGACTGAATCCTATTTTAAGGTTTCGTTCGTATCTGTAATGAGAATAACGACCGCGTTACACGTGATTCGTTACGAACGAATTCGTTATTATCGCTCACCGTTATTTTGAGCTGTAACGGGCGTGCACATTTACGGCTGCGAAAAACAGATGGCACGCGTGTGTGATAAATCAAAGAAAAATTATAACAATTTAATTGTAATGTTTGTTATTTAGAACAGAGCCAATTTTATATTTTTTCTACCGTCATTAGAAACGAAACTATTTAAATTATACAATTTAAATATGACATAAACTTGGAGCCTCAAAAGACCCAAAAGATTCATAATCGTGAGATAAAATACTATGAAATTAACTAAAAAGTTAAGTTAACTTTTTATTATTAACTTAAAACCAACTTGTTTAATTGGAAAGGCAGAACTGGAGAGAGAACTGGAGCTTTAAGAGTCTATAAGTGTTATAATTATTATTGAGAACTAAAGCCTTCCTCTTGCTCTGTTTCTAGTCTTTTGCATACATCTTATCCTTTTTAGCAGCGTAAATTTAATTAAAATCATGATCTCTAACCGTAAACATATTTTTATCACAATTAAAAATATGGCACTGGGCAGTAAAATAATTTTAAGAATCACATCAGTACCTACTATCAGGGATCACTCCGGACATTCAAACTTACAAACTTTATCTTTTTTAATATTAGACTAGATATTCTGTTATTGAAATTATAGTAGCATATATAAAAAATATTGCATATATCATTTTACATAACCATCACTTACTTTAACAGAGATCGAAGTTTGGGTTCTTCCTGTGAACTTAATAAAAGGTTCAATGTGTAGGTATATGGATTTAAATATGTACAAAAATATTAAAACGTTTAAAAGAATTACACATGGCATATTTGGTAATAATCAGCCTCCTGAAGTTTTCAGCCACGGCGGTTTATGTCTTTGAGACAAGTGATATATGTATGTGTATGTAAGTACCTTTTTTTTTATGTCGGGAAATGCATTTACGCATACCACCTGATCCCAGGTGGTGATGTGGGGCTCACCGGCTAGAAGAGCCGGTACTACCCACTAAAACCCGACATTCCCCTCCCCTCCGCCTTAATGGGACGCCGCAGGATCGCTTGCGCATAACTACTACGGCGCCCCGGCGGCTTGTATGTAAGTACCTACATATATTTATACGCAGGAGATATTATACAATTTATACGTGAACTCTCCATTCTTTCCTTTTTTAAGGTTCCTACGAGCTATAATTCAACACATCTTAACGTACCCTATAAGGCACGAAATTGTAAAACCGCCAACTTCCTAACTCTATGATATTCCTAACCGACATGTTACTGAATTTATTTGTTAGTTAAACCCAATAACAAACTTTGGCCGAGCCCCGGACACAAATCTAGGAATCCCAATAAGCCTATGGGGAATTCATTATTACCCATATCCATTACCCGTAATGATACACTATAAAGACTATAGTGCTATATCGCTAGGGCCTCAAAATCGAGTGTGCGACTATCGAATAGGCTTTGAACACGTGTCGTCAACGCGTTAAAAAGTTGTCATGTGTATATGACCTAATATGGCTATGATAAAGTAATAGCTTGATAATTCATCCACCTGCTAAAAATAATGTAGTTATTTAATTTTAATATTTCATTTACTTCCTTACCGCTTACGCAATGCTCCATCTATCTCTATCCTAAGAAATAGTATGTGCTATAATTTTTAAATTTTGCAAATAATGTTAATCTATACATATTATAAAATTGTAACTAAGCCGAATCTGTACGTTAAATATTTTTTGGAAAATCTTATTGAAATAGACATTATTATCGATACAGAGGCCGAAAGGAGGATTTTTTAGAATTTTTGTCTGTCTGTCTGTTACCGCATCACAGAAAAACCACTTGAGGGATTTTGATGAAATTTGGTGTGGTTGTAGCTGCTTATCCGGGTCAACATATAGGATACTTTTTACTGAGGGAAAATATCTCATTTCTGAGAAAAAATACAGACTGCAACTTAAGAGTATAATACTAATATGTAAAACCTAAGATTTTTTTTTGGTCATCTGAACGCGGGCGTAGCCGCGGGCAATGCTAGTTCTAATATATAATCTTTTACAAATCTACACTGCCTACAAAATATTTTTGTTTGGTAAACAGGGAGCAGAAAATGTAAAATATTCTACTAGGCCATCTATTTATGATATCTTTATAAATTACCTATGTTAAATACATTAGATCGGTTCTGCTACCTGCATGTATGTTTATATTTCATATCAAAAGACGTGTTCAAACTGAGTTTAATATGTTTAGATATTTTTTATTCGTTAACAATGTGATTATCACTCTAAAGTGCCATATATACTTATCATATTAAAAACACATATTTTCTTCCACAGCCAATAGAAATGTAATCTATTGTACCGTATTAATTTCTTAGTTGAATCGTCAGGTAGAGTCAAGGATACTTATACATGTCTATACAATATTTTGATAAGTGTAGAATGAAGTTGTTACTGTTATAAATTCCAAATTGGTATAAACTCAGAGAACACTTCTAATTGCCAAAAAAGAAGGAGGTAGATACTCTTTTTCGGTTGTCTTTTCGTGTCTATGTTTCACGATATGCCAAATCTGAACTGATCTTTATGATTTCTTCTTAATGTGGCCCAATATAAATTATGAGAAAAAAATCTAAAGTAGAAAAAATAATTTAGGATTTTTTTATGTTGAAGATATTAAAGATAAATTACCTTTAGGTTGCAGGTAAAGAAAATAAATGAATATGAATTAGAATCTTTTATTATAAAAATTCTATAATAAAATGGAAATAAATATAATTTCTTAGCCTAAATACAAAACCAATCAGAAGCTACATGGAAGTATAAGATTTTACCAGGTAAACTTATTGGTAATTTTTTATAGTTTTCTTGTTAATCAAGAGAACACAATCTTACACATCATACATGACTAGATACACACAAAGAGCATATAGCCTTTCTATAGCATCCACAGTTTAGTATAAATTAACTTAAAATTAATATCACTTTAAAGGATGTTCAGACGAATTATTCACTTGCCGAGGAGGATTTTACGGCCAGCGCCCATATTTTGACCAGCCTGAGACGCACCCTTGTTGGAACCAGCTTGAAGACCAATTACTGTTTGTCCAGCCTTCAACACTTCATCAGAGAAGTCACGCTTGCATTCATCAGATGGCTTGGGTCCAAGGTAAGGGCCGCTCCACTCTGGGTGCCTGTAGGTCTATAAAAAAATCATTTTTAATAAAGAACAGAAATAATTTTTAGTGGTTTTTTACTAACCTAGGTCGGCCTCTCCATCTGGCCTTGTATACTTATTCGTGAAAAGTGAGCTAATGTTGTGAGAAAATCGTAAATTTTAGTTTATATTGGCAATGATTCAACTTCTAAAACGCAAACTTTCGAAACGTGTCTGGTAAGCAAACATTTTGTTACGCACGGTTCAATATAGCCATACATGTTTATCATAAATTTATGTAAAGCTATGTTTTTGAAGTCGTTAATTTTAATATGAACTTTGAATATTCGTAATTCGGCCTAAAATAGATTCTCTTACTTCATATGCTTACAAAATTCAGAGCTCCGCATTTAAATTGTATAATTATTTCTGTTAAAGTTTTATTATTAATTTCAAAGTCAAAATTAAATGACTGGTCAATTTATTAATAACAAATTAAGTACCTCGCGTCCAAGGGCGAAGAGAGTGCTGACAACTTGGGCGATATCCTTCTTCTCCCACAGGTCGACAGTTTGGAACACATCGATGTCAGGGACACCATACGCCTTGATTGCCAGTTGGAAGCTGAAATTATAAACGTTATCAGTAAAAATACGAATAAAAGAGTTGAAGACATAAAAAAATCTAATTTTTATAGTTTTAATGTTTTTGCTAGTTAGCGCTAGTATATAAAAATATGTTGTGTTTTCTATATTTATTAATGCGTAGTGTTAATAATCTCCACTTTCTCTACATTAAAAGAATTAATCGATTCTAAAGCCACAATAGTTAAAGATGTTATATATTTAAAATAATTTATTTTTGATAACTGATTTATAGATATGTCATAGAATATGGACTTACTTGGTAATGTTCTCCATCATCTTGAATTGTCCACCAGTTGTGTTAATCTTGGCAACGGATCCAGGCTTGATCTTATTGATTAGCTGGCACAGAACAGTTCCGTCCTTGAGAACATCCTCGAAAATTTCACCGGGGGGGAATTTAGCGCCGAGGACGCTCTCGATCCACTCTTGACACTCTTTCTCCCGCTCAGGGCTACGCTTGGAAGCAAGCTGTTAACCAAAACAAATATTAATTACTATTATAGTTTTTCTAATTTTATATCTCTATCATAATATTTTTTAAATTTAAATGAAATATCTCTTACACTTTAAATAGATAAATATTTTTTTTTATTTAAACAGAATACTTTAGTAGTTTAGGAGTGAATGCAATAATAAACAGGTGTTAATAAAGCTGATTCCTACCTTTAAGCGGACTTGGCGTTCCAGAGACATATTTGTGAGTTGTGTAGTGCTTTGTACAGTGACGATCTCTCTTCCGATAGCACGGCTAGACTGAACTCCTGAAAGCTGAAGCCACGTATTTATAGAGCGTACAGGCTGCGCCCTTCTGGAAAACTCTTGCGCATGACGGCCCACCTCTGACGAGGGTACGAAATAAGCTTCTGACTCAACAGCCTCTTTGTAAAGGCGCTATTATATAAAATATTTAAATAGTTCGATGAAAGCATGGATAAATTATGTTCAATCTTTGGATAACATTTTAAATGTTATTTCTAGCGTTGCTTATAAGAAACTCTTCGTAAATTGTACATACGAGTACATACCAAGCTAGATAAGACAGTTAAAACTAGTTAGGTATGACAAATTTGAGATTTCACGTGAGTAATAAACGAAAGCTCGTTGATAAAATAACATTTTTAATAGAAAAATAATATTACTTATTAATTAGCATTGCTCGCTGCTCCGCCCGCGTTCAGATGACCAAAAAACCAAATTGTTTGGTTTTACATATTAGTATACTCTTATATATACCAATTTCATTGATTTCATTTGAATTTGCATTGATTGGAAAATATTGGTGGTGAAATGAATGGTGGAAATTGACAATGCCACAAAGGTTCCTCTGTTAATCTCATTTTTGATTTAGTAACATTGCACTTTTTGTTTTGTGTGATAAACTCTCAAACTGCTCAAATAATTTTAATCATTTATTTACTAATAGACAGCTATTGATTAATTTAAATAACATAATATATAGATAGATGTTTATTTAAATAACATAATAATAATTTTTCTTAATGTTAATTTGTCGCGAAACAGAGATGGGGTTAGCGCTAGTTAGTAATATTTTCCGAAACGATTTTGAAAAGAAAGTGTTGGTGAAAGTGAAAGTTCCAGAATCACATACTTAAGGTAAGTAAGTAAATAATTCTAAGCAAATTCTTTTTATTATTTTATATATTATGGCTCGGCTAATATGATTAAAGTCTTAAGCATTGTATTGAGTCCTTAAGCCTTCCCTTTTTCACTTTTCAATAAATGGTGACTAAAAAATCTGAAAAAGTTGAGGTATAATAGTTTCTAAAATACTTTTATCAAAAATTATCTTGCAGAATATATGTACTTACGTTTCGTAGTTTTTGAGATATGGAATATTTTCTGTTACCCACTTTATCAGTTTAACAACCATAAACTTTTATTCCATAAAATGTTAAAAAATAATATGAAACGAACTTATTTTTACGGTTGATAAAATGAGTCGATATTGTAGAAGCGTAAATATTATTCGTATTTATTTAAGTACTAACCTAACAAAATCCGTAAGTAAGAAAAACAACACAGTATTTTGGTATACGGAACCTATAGTTCGCGAATTGGGCTTGCTTTTGCCCAATTTTTACATTAAAACATTTACAAACATTAACATTATTTATTAAACAATAAAAAATTACAAATATTTTCATAAGAAATTGTTCCGGCCAATAAAATATTACTAATAGTTATGTAAAGCCAAAAAGTTTGTTTCATTGGTCATTTAAACACGGGTGGGATATTTGGGGGGCGCCGGTAATCTAATAATAATTGTAAGAAAATTATAAAAAGATCATATCTGTAGGTACATTCATTTTTGTTTAAATATAAAACAACGTATTTTAAAAACACATGGCGACATCTATTGAAGAATATCTAAATAGCACTTAAATAAATATTTTTGGAGTTATTTTAATAAATAAAATAACGCTATTGACAATATTTTTTTCAAGATAAGCTATTTTTAATAGTTTTTTACTATACCTACATATTTAGTAAGTTATCTTGTTAGAATGTTTATAGTATGATCGTGGTTTTATTTTAACCAGTTGTTGTATTTTTTCTCAAAAATGAGATATTTTCCCGCGGTAAAAAGTATTCTATATGTTGACCCGGATAACCAACTATCACCATACCCAATTTGATCAAAATTGCTTCAGTGGTTTTTCCGTGATGCGGTCACAGACAGTCAGACAGACAGACAGACAAAAAGTCTAAAAACTATAGATTCTGCCTCTATATCGATAATAATGTCTATTTAATTAAGATTTTCCAAAAAATATTTAATGTGCAGATTCGGCTTAGTTACAATTTTATTATAAGTATAGATAATACTATATACATAAATATAAATAACAAATAACAAACTGCATTAAAATTTGTTCTATACCTACTAATGGATAGTAAAATGTTATTGTATTTTTATCCAATAATTATTATATTATAATTGTTTAAAATATACATATGAGTATATCTTTACGGACTAAAATTAGCATAACATACACAAAGGCGAACACATATTATTATAATGTGGTACAAATTTTCGGAAATGGATTGGATTCATAAGGTATTTACTGTCTTGTTAAATTTACTTGTATTTTTTATACATCAATATTTGTAGAATTTATACGTTAGAAAGGAAAGAGGCTTCTTATGTTTATATGGATTTATGTAAATTATATATTAACGACTTACAATCGCTTTACTCGCGGTACTCGTCCCTAGGCAATTTTTATTATTAATTAGTGTAGTAGCTTATGTGCTATTCCAGGGTCATAGTCTGACTATATACTGATGCGTTATGAAGTTACATACACACTCCTCATACACACATACAATCTTTTGCATTTAATTAATCCGATTTTTTTTAATTCCATAATTATGTTAATATTTTTACAATTTAAATAAAAAGCCTGATACTAATTTTGATATTTAAGTGCCATGTCGTTACATACCATGCCATTATGCCTCGCAAAATTTAAATATCGCTACAAACATACACCTAAACAATAAAAAATAAAGTATATTTCTTCTACAAAGTCCACAGTATACGATAGAGGACGCAGTCAGGGCGGGCGTGATACACGCGGGCCGTACTCGTATCATCGCCAAGGCGTCTAGCCGCCCACCGCTCCTTTGAGAACTCGCTGATTTATCATTGTCCCCATTACCCACGCGCTAGAAACGGTATTATGCATAGCTTAGGCATGTTTCATCTTACTTATATGTTTTTGTACTACACTGTAGTGATTTGCCCTGAACTAAAATGACACAGTTATTTTTCAAACACCCTCATAAATACATACCTACATATAATATATATTATCTACATTTCTTAATGTTTGTATCTGTAATAGGTTAACTTCTGAAATTCAAATAATCTGATATAATTCGTGCACCACCTATCGTAGGTACATTGAGTGTACTAAGTGCCTTGTCAAAAACCATAAGAAATAGAACAGGTATACTCAGCTCAGCTTCATAAGGTATGCATTCCCAACAAACATACAATCATAGATAGAATTTTATACATATATACGGGTTAATATAAAAAAGAAAATATGTATTAGTTTAACAATACAGTCAGTTTCAAGCTATTTATCATTAACGTATTCTTTATTCATAGTTGATGTATTCAAAGTTGAAAACTCCGTTAAAACTGTTAAGTGATAATAATAATAGTGTAAAGATTTAAAAATATCATACTTTATTTAGTTAGTTATAACTAATTATTTATATTAGCTTTAAGAGATTTTTTAATATTTATATTAGAGATCTTCGATTTAAACTAATAAATTTTAATTATTTCAGGTAAACACAGTGAAAATTACAATTCAATGTTACGTAACTAGTAGATAAAGTATCTAAAATGGAAAACTAGAGTTATAAGAATGTGTAAGTTTTTTTTATTATAAAAATGTTTATTCTTAAATTTCTCCCCAACATATAATTTTAAGAATAATTCAAAAACAGTTATATTTGTTCAAAGACAGTATCCTCAAAAAATAATTATACTCTTGAATGAAACGCTTCAAATGATGTGTTAAAAATATCTTTAAAACATTTTATTTGTATCTTGTCTATATATATAAAAGAAAGTCGTGTTAGTTACTTCGCTTATAACTCAAGAACGGCTGAACCGATTTAGCTGAAAATTGGCAGGGAGGTAGTTTAGAGCCAGGAGAAGGACATAGGATACTTTTTATCCCGTTCGACCGCGTTCCAATTTTTATGATATTTTAATTTTTGGATTTCTCTTAGTCCGGAATAGGTAAGTATTAAAACATATAATTAAAATGTGAGAAAGAAAGATTTTTTCTTTTTATATCTATTTAAAACGTACCTAGCGACGAACCCGAGCGAAGCGAGGGTGAGCCGCTAGTTATCTATATATATAAAAGAAAGTCGTGTTAGTTACTTCGCTTATAACTCAAGAACGGCTGAACCGATTTAGCTGAAAATTGGCAGGGAGGTAGTTTAGAGCCAGGAGAAGGACATAGGATACTTTTTATCCCGTTCGACCGCGTTCCAATTTTTATGATATTTTAATTTTTGGATTTCTCTTAGTCCGGAATAGGTAAGTATTAAAACATATAATTAAAATGTGAGAAAGAAAGATTTTTTCTTTTTATATCTATTTAAAACGTACCTAGCGACGAACCCGAGCGAAGCGAGGGTGAGCCGCTAGTCAACGATAAAGTAGCAGAGAATATGTCAGGCAATATTTTTGTTAAAATTAGAATATAAAAAAAATGTATTGGGACTATTTTAAATTATCTTTTTTCTACATTACATTATCACATTGTCATCGCATTGTCGTTGTAACACAGATCAAAATTTGGACAAGTTAGAGTCTGACTCGTGCACGGAGGGTTCCGTACAACCAAATAATAAATTACTGTGGCTTTTTATATATTTATATTTACTGTTTCTTTTTATATATACGGCTTAAGTTAAATAATATTTTCCAAGAGTCGACTTTATTTTCAAAAATATGAAAAAGATACCCCGCCTCACATGATTATGAGCATTCATTATTCCTTCTGTTAGTTACATGTGGAGAGCAACTCCTATTTATTTTATTTTTAACAATTGTCTTAACATGACGATGAATTATAAGAATTAAATTTTGATTACGAACTCTAATAAAAATAAAGTTTTGTTGTAAAATTGACGATAATGACAGTGCCAAACACTTTTTTACTACCATTTTTATATAACCTATATGCTTATTTACTACCATATTAAAAAAATAAACGATTTGGAAATAAATAAGATATTTTATATTATTAATTTCTTTATTAAAACACCCTCCACATAGCCATCAGTACCATTACATACACTCAGGGTACAACACTACAATGCATAGTAGGTACATATTTACAACAATTTACATACATATTTACAACATTGTTCGACTCCAATTGAAATATTGATGGTTAGTGAACAACATTATAAAATATAGCCGACTTGTAATAAATAAATCTCTGACAAATTAAATTATTTGTAATAACTTAATTTAAATAAAACCAAATTTACTATGATATTTATTTGACTAGATTATCATTACCTATTATATAGCTCTTATCACAACGCAGTCGTCTGCTAATATCAGGAATGTTTTTCTAAGACTATAAAAATTCAAATAGTTACAGTTTATTTTACTTATTATGTAAAAATCAGAGAGCGTATACGATACCATTTATATTTACATAATTAGGTAATATTTGCTTATCACTCAAAATTCATTTTCTAAATTTCAGCTTTGGAATAGTTTCCACAAACAGTAAACAAATAAAAATACTCAAAAGTGATCACTAATTACTTTAAATAATAATATAAGTACACATCCGTCATTCCCAATGTTTACGTTATAAACACCTAAATCTCCATAATGTTTAAATATTGCAATTCACCTACATTTAATGGACACGATAGTTTGGCACTTGGATTATTATTCACTTTTTGTCATTAACCACTACACAAAGTCCATACAAATTTTCATATATTTGAAGTCCTAAAGGTTTCCAGCACTGCTCTATGCGATCCTTCTTTGATAAATCGTCAGTCCTAGTTAAACTTCTAAACGTTGTATTGATGATGAGCAGGCGGGTTGTTAAAGATCTGTGACCATTAGAAAAGATGGTTGTTCGTTTTGGCGAGGGTGCCGAGATGGTCGGAGAGTAGGTAGTTGGGTGGGGCCACCCCCAGCAGAGGGAAGCCCGAGGGCTGGCGCAGCAGGCCGCAGCCGCCCGTCCACTTGCCGCTCCCCACACCGCTCACTGGTGGCTCGGAGACCCCGCTACCGACGCCATTAAGCTCATCGCATAATTTGTTAGCTGTCAAAAATAGAATTTATTTATTTTAGTTAATTATTAAAGCATATTAGAGACTTATTTTAAAATATGTATAATAATTCTTGTGTTAGTGTTAGCTGTTAAACACCAGAACAACGTTAATTTTAATACGTCCAATGTCCATTGTGCTAAGAAAACGTAGGAACATACGATATACTGTGAGCTTATGTTTAAAGATTTAAATCACTCTGTAAATTACAAATAATTGTCTTTAATAATTATGTTCTAACTAAACCACTATTAAAATGATTTATAACATCTGTTCTTCAACCTTATAACATATTACGAGATATCAATAAGGTATATTAAGGTATATTGTAAAATCTAAATATCCATATAAATAATTTTGACTAAAATAACAATTTTTAGTAAAAGATCTGAGCATTAATTAGAATCAGAGTCATAAAGAGTATTAGTTTTAGAAACGGCTCTAAATTGCAATTAGAGCAATGAAAACTCGTGCATTCAAATCTGGGCATTGTAAAATCAGAGTGCAGGTGCGCTGGTGGATATGAAATAATCGTGGTAACGCGATTAAGCGCTAATCACCTAATCCTTGCCGCCGCTCCGTTGTTTATTCAAGCCTGAGTGACAATCGCGCGCACAATTAGCGCAAATGAGCCGAAGAGAAAATCTGGCGCGGATGGCGTGCCGTGGTGGAGATAATGTGATTAATCCAGCCACAAGCCATTATACGCCCTCAGACCACCGCGCCCGCACCTGCACGACGCTCTCGTTGTTTGGCACTAGCGTGTCACAGCCAATTCTAGTTACTCGTAAGGCGACACACATTTTTCGAATAATTCGAATCGTAAAATTTTATTATCTTCTTCTAGTTCTATTATCTATTTATTTGTTGTTACCAAAAGGTACTGTAATTTATTAGGACGCGAAATTATTCAATTCTCATAATTTTACTTCATCACGTTTGTATTTTAAATGTTTTAGAAAGAAAAAACAATTATTTTTTTTTATTTAAAATGTAAAATATCTGTTAACATATTTTCGTTATGATGTATACTTATTGTTAAAGCAACGATGAAAACTTGTTGTTGAAAAGTATGTGAACTTGGCCCGATTTCTTTGTTCTAATAATAAATACACATTGAAACTTTATCATTGAATGATCACATTTCAATGCATCTTCTAATTTTAAATTCTATTTTGAGGACATATTATTTCTGTTGTCGAAATCAGCCTTGTTGTGTTCTCCCACGCAGTCGCTGAAATACTGCGATTGGACCGCGATCTGGCGGAATGCATGACTCACTCATATAATATAGACGATCAACCACGAAAATTTAAAAATCCAAACATAAAAATTCTAAAAATACTACATGACATTCAAAGAATAACCACTATAAAGCTTCATATATTATAGTCGATGTTGAAAACATTACAAACGGCAAAAATAAAAATCCTTAGAAATATAAATATAATAACTGTAGTAAATACAGTTCTGATTACGTTAATATTATTGTAAAAACATACTAATTTATGTACCGTACCCAAAAAAGAAAAAAATATTAATGGTTCGCGTCTCAAGGAAAACATTGTTGCAACAAATATATTTTAATCGTTGGCACTAGAATAGCAACAAAATTGGTGTTCCACAAATTCGTATGATTGGCTTACGAAATTCGTTAATAACATGTAAAACCATTATTTCAACGTTTTAAGTACCTACTAAATAATATAATAATCGGAAAGCATAGGTATACCTACGAGTACTAGGTATAACTAGTGCCCATTACTCTACTAAGTTTATTTAAATTTATAAAATACAATTAAAAAAATAGTTAATCGTTGAATATGACCATCCGCCAACAATACTACTCTTTGCTGACATGTAGGTATGTAGTAGGAGGAGAAATTTTCTATGCATCTCAATTTGTCATGTCAAAATAACTAAAAAAACATGAGAGTTTATTGTTATTGTACTTATTTTAAATTTGCTTCGAAACACGTTTTATTGCTTTTATTTTATTAAATCTTATAATTTTTAATGAATAATTCTTGTATATATCCATACAAATATTATATAAATGTGAAAGTGTTTGTTTGTTTGTCCTTAATAAAAAAGTTATGTCAATTTAAAGAATCACCACACAAGCGACGGTGAGTCGCTAGTTTATAATATCCACTATGTAGTGATTGATACACAATATATTTATTTATTATTTATTGCATACTTATATAAATATATAAGTAATAGTTGGCTAAGGAAACTTTTATATAAACAAAAAAGATTCTGTACTCTATTAAAAGTTTCTATTAACATTTTTATAGTAGACTTTTGAGTTGTAACTCTATTATCATTTAGTTTTTAGTAGTTTAGTATTTAGTTTAAGTAACAAGAAGAAAACATGTAAATTTACATCAAAATCACATCAATCATATAAGAAGATCACAGAAATGGTGCACATTAACAGAATGTTCTTAGAATTTCTTTCCTTTATCTGCGACTCTATCAATATAATAAACGATACAGTATGCACAATGCACGTATTATATTATATGTCTCCAGAATGCAAGCTACCGCAATGCCAAATTTCATTAACAGTGATAAATTAATGTGAGCAACAGACCGACATCACTTCAAAAATATTTATAGCCAACACAAAAAAAAACATTAATCTGTCATAGTATTAGCTATAAATATTATAAAAACATTTATACATATGCTATTTCATAAAAAATTAAAGATAATGATGAAAAGCTGTAAAGCTTGAATAATTTAATGTTAAAACTTTTTCTAATTTAAATTCGCTGTTATGTTTACTTCGTGTTATTTGAATACAGCGATTTTTTTTATTATGTAACAATTATAATCAACGTTCGTACTTCAATATATTTTTTTATTTATGTTAAAACTCGTTTTTATATTATAAACTAGCTTTTGTTCCAGCCGTTTCCCTCGCGCAGTTTATTTACGTATTACTCCGCTCCTACAGCCGTAGCGTGATATTAGTATGCCGTTATCAATAAATGGAGTGATAGCTCAAAATATTAACAAAGAAACAAAAAAATAACTAATTAGGACATTTTAACTATTAAAAATTAAAATATAACTTATAAAAAAATATTTATTTTATAATGAATAAAAACTTATTTCTTTAATTGAATCTTTTAAAGAAAATTCTTATTTACCTGCAGAAGTAATAGGTTTAAGATCGGGCGGCGATAGATGTGGCAGTGTGTGGTGTGTGGGCTGCGTAGGCGGCGCGGGATGTGGCGACGTGGCGGGAGAGCCTGGCTTGTCCCTCTTGCCCTCGGCCTTAACCGGTGCTTCGCCCGCCTTCTGCTGCGCCAGACGTTCCTGTTTTCGAAACTTAGCTCGTCGATTTTGAAACCATACCTGAAATATAAAATGCTCAACGTAACTATCTAGATTAGATTATATTTTATTCAATAAAATTAATATTTATTGATTTAGTTTATATACAACTTAAGGCACAAATAAGTTACAAATGCAGTTCATAATTAATGAATGTTTAAGTAACTTATGTTTATTCATAATTTCTCAAAAAAAAAAAATTAATGCTTGTATCAATTTGTGCATGAAGTGAAACTTCTGTAGGTTATCGGTACTTTTTATGAAATTCAATTTATGTTTTAAATAATTAGGATAGGGAAGTATGACAAAAATAATTTTTAATTTAAAAATTAAAACAATATTTTATTATTCACATAGTACAGGTGGTGTTAAGATATTTTTTTAAATCAAATGTTGTAATGATTCAATAAATTATATAAATACTCCAAGAAAACTTTTTGCTAAAAAAAAATATATTAATAATGTATAAAAAATATTTCAAGTAAATATTTTTTTTACAATAATATTCATTTGATATTCCATCGCTCATTTAAAAATAAATGAAAACAAAATGTACCTCCTTAGAAGAGAATGTACCAGAAAATCACGAAAAGCTGCTCCTAAGAAGTTTGTCAATTGATTGAGACAGCTAAGTAGCTAATTTTACTTTTCATACCTATAGGTATATCAGACATAAGTGTACCTGACAAGAACCATTTCAAAATTATAAGATATGTATACGAACTTTAGATGTATTTAACAAATGTCCCACTGCTGGGCACGGGCTTCCTTCATCAGGATCAGGCCATGAGCCACTACGTTTGCCAGGAGCGAGTTTGCAAACTTCACGTGTCTTTCTAAAACTTTCTAGGTTCTCTCAGACATATGCCTGAGGAAACCTCCTCACGAGATGTTTCGTCACCATAAGGCAATCAAGTTGAAAATGACTTGCTATCAGAAGTGCGAGACTAAGACTTGAACCAGCTTCACATGGTTTCCCAAGCACACTTACTGGGCTACCACTGCCCAATGTTACCTAACACGGAAGTAGACATAAAAGTTTGTTTTTATCAAAGAAAAAGTCATAAAATGAAAAAAAAAAACATCATAGATATATAATATACCTATCAACGAATCGCACTCGCTTAGTTCGAGACTAAAATAATTGAATTACATATTGTAATTACGATTCCTTACTAAAAACTTATCTTTATTAGCTTAAAAATGGTCAAAAAAACATGCTTATTATAGCTACACAGTAGCAAAAGAAAATTTAGGAAAGAAAATATATTAAGACAGCAACACGTAATAAAAGCTGCTAGTAAGCAGATCGAAATGAATAAACAAGTTAGCGTCCGACCCGACTAATGGGAACGCATCTCATGCATCGCGCGCCAAATTTTAATGCAAACCGTTTTATATTCGTTCGAATGCGCGCAAATCCGAATTGATCGTAATTCGATTTGGTGCGAGAGATAATTGCAACTGCCACTGGCGCTGATTGGGCGATGTAACGGCGAAAAAACGCGAGTCAGACAATCATACGCACGCCCTGTTTGCTCATCGTAGTCCTCGTTGATGATGTTTACCCGCTTCCATGTTTTTAGAGTTCTGTTGAAACGAAAACCCTATTACCCTATTAATCCTGAACTAATATTATAGTATTTTAATATATACTATAATAAAACTGTAGAGGTCGAATGTCTGTACATAGAAAAAAAAACCTAAAAACCGAATCAGGGGGATGTAAGAAGACAAATAGAACAAATCCAGTTTTATTTTTATTTTTTTTATTTCTCCGTCTGTTTGTACGTGTACGGGCTAATCTCCGAATCTATTGAACCGATTTAAATGAAATTTTGCATGGTGGTACCTTATATTCCCGGGCAACATCTTAGATACTTTTCATCCCGGAAAATTAGAGAGTTCCCGTAGGATATTTAGAAAACTATAATAACTTATACAGCTTAGTACACAAAAACTACTGATTGGATTTTAATGAAACTTTACAATAATATAGTTCATACATCAGAATAACAAATAGGTTACTTTTTATCCGAAAGAATGTATGGTTCCCGTGGGGTGGATCTGTTTATGCTTTTCTAGAGGCGAACCCGAGCGAAGCGAGGGTGAGCCGCTAGTAGAATATAAAGCTCTTTATTAAAAAGCTTCTTGAAAATCAAAGAGAATAATAACACATGATATTTTACTAGATTTTACGGCTAATTCCAAGGAATAATAAGTATCAGATATTTATCTAATTCTCTTCTTGTGATATAAATATATAATTTCTTACTTTAATCTATAAACAAAATTTTATAGCTCTTGAAACTAAATAATTTATAGCAACGTTACGTTGTAGTTTGTAAACAAATGTGTTTAGGTTATTTCCATGTTGTTTTTGATTGCTATATCAATAGAGTTACTAAAAAATAAAATCTGACCTTCCAATGATACGAAATATTAATTTTAGAAAGATAACAGAGAGATATTTCCTATAGACAAATAATAAGTAAAAAAATTAAATGGGTAGTAGAAAAATAAAATGGGGTATTAGAACAATTAATTATGACTTATAACCTCCTGTAGGCAATATGCTTCTAATATAAATATGTACTACTATATATGTATATGTTTCATATTTCTGAAGCATATTAGCATGTACAAATTAAGTTTTATTTAAAACTATATATTAAAAGGCCATTTTCGAAAACAGTATTTTTTCAGTATTTACAACTATTTTTGTGGACATGAAAAGAAAAAGAAGTATTTTGATATTTTTAATACTTATGAGACACCTACGTACATACTTTGTGTAATTTGGCTTTGGCACATAATGGAAGACGTTAATGAACTTTAGTTTTCTAGAAACAATTTAAATCCAGAAGTAATTCGTCACTATTCTGAAACTTGGCGAGATTATTTTTCATCTGATATTTCTGTGATGTCTGTGATGATCTTATTGCTGTTTTATACACACGTGGCAAATATTCTCAAACGCCTACGCTCACGTCTTAAATAATTTCCTGCAACTATATATGGTACCAGCACGTCTAATGCTATCAAAGTTGTATTATGTTATTCTAATTGTATAATTCATAATAATACACCTGCCTGTACCGACGTAAGATGTAGTCATTTGGTATAAACTCATAACAGATCTTACAAAATATAAGTCCATGATTCTACATACTAATTATAATACATAATGTAGCTAAAACTTTAAACACTTGCATGGATATTTACTAGGAGAAATCAACACGAATACTTACTAGGTGATTAGTAGAAACTACATAAAATAAAAGAATGTCTCAAATACATATTACATAACTAGCATTGCCCGCGGCTCCGCCCGCGTTCAGATGACCAAAAACCAAATTCTTAGGTTTTACATACCTATTAGTATACTCTTACATTGCAGTTTTTGTATTTTTTCTCAGAAATGATACATTTTCCCTCGGTAAAAAGTATCCTATATGTTGACCTGGATAACCAGCTATCACCATACCAAATTCCATCAAAATCCCTCCAGTGGTTTTCCTGTGATGCGGTAACAGACACACAGACAGACAAAAATTCTAAAAACTATAGATTCGGCCTCTGTATCGATAATAATGATAATTTCAATAAGATTTTTCGGCTGATTCTGCTTAGTTACAATTTTATTATATAATTATTAGTATATAATTTTATTATATAATTTATTATATAATAAAATTGTAACTAAGCCGAAAGTATAAATATATATATATTTCCTAATTTCATCATTTTACGTACTGTCAACTAAAAAATGAGAATATCTGATAAACCTATTTTTTTATAATTATTGGCAACTGAAAAACTGAAAACAGGGCACTGTTTTACCAGTTTTTCAGCTACCGATTCACGTACAAAAATGGTTCTTAAGAGATTAAGAGCTTAGATTCAGCGAAATCATACCACATTTTGTTTATCGTATGAACTAAATGTGTGAAATGAATATATGCATATTGACGCGTACACAAAGGTTAAACTAAAATACACATACATACATTACAACAATTTGAAGATGATTATAAAATTTAAAACCGTAGCTCCATTCAATAAGTGTTTTTTGTAAAATATTTTATATCTATTAAATCTTATAATTTACTTATTTAATGGTAGGGGAGCCCAAAGGGGATTTTTGTAGTTACTCAAGCGCGGCAGATTAACATAAAAGAGGTTACCTTGCACTCTATTGAGTACTTTCACCATAATATAAGTCTTCTATATAAAGGGGCGCGTCTAGGGAAGCCAATTAAAATATTTAAAAAATGTTTTGATAAGGTAGAAATACTTGAAACCGTCAGATTAAGGTGTGGTAGGCTAGTCACATCCTGAAAAGTGTCCAATTTAATAATCTGCCGATTTGCACAAGCCAAAGAGGCAAAAATCGACTATAAAGTTTATGATGATTTTTGCCTCTTAGGCTTATGCAAATCGGCAGATTATTGAATTGGACACTTTTCAGGATGTGACTAGCCTACCACACCTTAATCTGACGGTTTCAAGTATTTCTACCTTATCAAAACATTTTTTAAATATTTTAATCGGCTTCCCTAGACGCGCCCCTTTATATAGAAGACTTATATTATGGTGAAAGTACTCAATAGAGTGCAAGGTAACCTATTTTATGTTAATCTGCCGCGCTTGAGTAACTACAGAAAATCCCCTCTTGGGCTCCCCTACTATAAAGAGATAATGTAGGCAGATTTCTTTACCAATGCTACTTACATTATATATTAAAACCAAATTACGAGCTTATAGATCGTAATAGATTAAATGGAAAAACTCATCTGTCCTAGATCTTTTAGTTATAGTTTGATCCGTCTCTATAAAGTGGCATGTATTAATTGATCTTATGACTTATTTCATTTAGGTGTTAGGGAATCTATTCAAAGATAAATTAAGCTTTATAAGCTGTTATGAAATGAGAAGCATTTTGTTTTACTATTATTTAAGGCATTTAAGTAATTTAATTATTTATCGTTGCGATATATTCGGTACTCTGCAAATTAATATTTCCGATAGGTATATTAAAACGGCTAAGTATGAGTATGATATATTTGCAAAACGACATTGGTTGAGAGATTTAGTGCCATAATGAAGGTCGCGTTCGTCGTATGTCAAATCAATGCACAAGTGCATCTGGAGTGACTAGGGTTGAACATATTTCAGTTTTTAACTAAACACAGATTAAATTATTGCTTAAAACATCTTTAAATCAATTTTTCAATGTTCTAGAAATAAGTGGAATGTTAAAAATGTAAATAACTAAAACGTTCAAAATCTTCTATTTCATTTATTTTATAGAATTCGAGACTTTGTGGCCACTCTATGCAATCCCATGTAAAATGCTGCTGGCGCGAGTACGTCATTAAAATAAATCATTATGATCTAAATGTTCATTAGTAACTAAAGCTAAGACTATATTGTTCGCTTGTTTTACTTATACAATTAGTGTTACGAAATTATATTTTAATCACACTAACCTAATATATTATTTACTATTTATTTATACCGGCGTTCTCGGAAACGGCTCTGACGATTTCGCTGTGGTATGTGGAGGTTTTCGGAGGTGAAAAATCGATCTAGATTAGTCTTATATCCAGGAAAACTAGGAAAACTAGTTTTATATCCAACAAAAAAGAACTTCGAGCAAAGCTCGGTCGCTCAGGTACTACCTATTATTTATT